AAGTGTCCAATCTCCATATCTTTTTCAACTAAAATTACACTTTCTTACCAAATTTTGGAAAATTATTTTCACGCCTGATGTTTTGTTTCAATTTTCCCCAAAATCAACTCGATGGGATTGAAAACACAAAAATAGGGCAGAAGTCTCAGTGTGGTGTGTCCATACTTTTCAGTAAAACTCTCAAGGGCATACACTTTTTCAAACGTTTTTGTCTATAAAACTTCAAGTAGTTGATTTTTTGTATAGTTATCTTCAAAATATAAATGGTGATCCATTAAAAAACTGTATTTCATCTTTCCTCAAATTTTTATTTAGTACTTTGATGAGCTGTCGCGAATGATAAGAAGCGTTGTCAAGAACTATTACACTATTCGCATCCAAATTCGGGATCAATGTGTTTTCAAACTATTCCTCAAAAATATTAGCTTTCATGTTTTTATGATAGTCAACATTGCAGTTTTCAAGTTTTTTTCCACATAATTTCAAAGAATTCGGAACCCATCCTTTATTTCCTCCGCAATGCACAATGATTAGTCGCGATCCTTCGTTTGCAGGCATCGGAATCTTATTCACTGGTGTTTTTTTCGCATTGTTCACCATCGCTATTGGAATCACTACACAGGAAAAAGTCTTCGTTGTTATCACACTTATTATTACTATCAGTACTTGTCCAAGGACGCCACATTTTAAACAGATAACAAAAATTTTAAGTAATTATAACTGCATCAATATCGAATTTCAACACTCAAATCGCGAACAGTTCCTGAACATTGACAACACGAAGTGTATAAACATTCTCGCATTCTATTCGTCACCGTAACATGACTTCAAATTTAATTTTATCACTCTTCAGCCAATCATAAAACTCGGTTAGTAAAAATTATCCAATACGAACCGCCACTTCCTCAGTCCACATGGACTAGTTGGCAGGAGCATTATTTCTCTATATTGTTTTTTGACCTTTGAGATGCTGATAGCTTTAACTATTCACAATACAGGTTACTTCGACTATATCCTGAGTCACATTGTCATTCATATTGCAGTATGCTGGGGCGAAGTGTCTTGTCGAAAATATGCATTTCGGAAGGGTATTCTTTGAACGGCAGCTTCTTCTGGCCAAATTGGAAGAGTTGGAGAAGATACCTTGAGTGATGCAGTGTGCTTCTTTGTTTTTCACATTGTGCAGTTGAATGGGATACCGGGTGCTGTAGATTCCAAAAATGTTGTTAGATCAGACTCTGTCATATATAAATACTCTATAAATAAATTTTGATATTTTCGAAATTTACAATCAAAATGAAACCCCTTTCTGTAGTACCGCCGCTGACAGTTGATATGTTGTTTTGAGGAAATGAGAGACGGATTATTTATTGGTTAGCATGGAAACCTATGTTTTTGGCTAGAGGTCACCTGTTTACTGTTATTTCATGGCCGTATTCCCTGTAGACTATTATGTCTGGATTAGACATTGAGCTCTCTTACGACCGTATTTAGAGTATGAAGTTTTCAGCTAATTTCGAGCATTTCAATCCCATTTTTTGTCTTTTTGATTTGTCTCGCGCAAAACAGCTTTATTGGGTTAGCAATGGCAACACTGTTAGCGTTACTGGTTTGGCTTGGCGTTTTTCATCATCCATTTTGTTTTTACATTTCTACAATCTAGGAATATTTTGACTTTCGGAAAAGTATTGTGCATGGATATTTAATATTAGTGATCAAGTATGTGCTTGTGTTGAAGTTTTGATGAAATCTTGTATACTGAGAAAAGAAAACGTAGGTTTTGAATTCTGGAGAAGCCATGGCGCTTTCCATGATAGGTAATCAATAGTTTTGTTAATTTTTCCTCTCCTTCCTTCTAGGCGTTTTCACGATATGTCTCGTTACAATTCAGATTGTAAAGTTTACGTCGGAGATTTGGGAAATAGTGCTTCGAAACAAGAAATAGAAGATGCTTTCAAATATTATGGCCCTTTGAGAAATGTATGGGTTGCGAGGAATCCTCCCGGCTTTGCGTTTGTGGAATTCGAGGACGCCAGAGATGCCGAAGATGCTATCCGAGGACTAGGTAAACTTACCAGATGTTTTGTGTGGCATTCCACTAAGTTATGTTCATCTTTATTTGTTAGATGGTCGTAGAGTCTGTGGCCGGAAAGCAAGAGTAGAGAAATGTATGCTTTTCAATACATAAGCATTTGGTTACTAACATTTTCGTCTTTTGCTAGATGGTCGAACGATATGTGGCCGAAGAGCAAGAGTCGAAATGTCCAACGGTAAAGGCGGTAGTGGCAGGTACAGGGGACCACCCCCGAGGTCTCGAAGTAAACCTTTTCACCCTGACGATCGCTGTTACGAGTGTGGAGATAGGGGGCATTATGCTAGAGATTGTACTAGACATAAACGCGGTGGACGGCACAGGTATGCATGATTTTGAATTTTTATTAAGTGTTTGAATTCTGATGGTTGAAATGTATGATTTACTGTTTTTGATTGATTTTACATTGTACAACGGGATGTAATTTTCGATTTGAAATTTTTGTGAAAGCTTCAAAGACCCCATTACCCTATTCACATAAACTGACTTATAGTTTCAGTATGATCCAATTTTATATTTTTCATCTTTGTTCAAATTCTTACTGGAAAATTATTTTATGGTAACTATTTACTACAGTTATCACTTGAAATTAAAAATGCTTTTTGCTCAAAATAGGACAACAGAGTCAAATTCGTGTTTCAGTGTTTCGCTATACAATAGCTTCCTCAAGCCAGTGAATTAGTTCTTTAGCTTTCCTGTAATTAGTCTGAAGAAATGTAAACATTTCATTAAATTCATTTTCATTATAATAATTCAAGGTAATTTTCAAAATAGACAAGAATTTGTTGAACTTAATGATCTTTCTGGTACAGGAAATTTTGAGATAAAACAAAACACTTTTCTCTTTGTTCAAAACAACAAAATATATTTGAAAATGTAATTGTTTTCAAATGTATTCATAGGTACTATCGATGTAGATAATATGTACTTATTTCATTCCAGTAACACTAAACAGTTTACAAAACCGCAACACATGTTTCACTTTACAGTAGTTTCTTTAGTTGTGTACGTATGTATTTGAATGGTATGCTATTGATTTTCATCAAGTATCGACCAATTCCATTACAGACATTACAGACATGCTTGTGATTTTGAATTTCATGAAGCAAAATGTTTATAAGCCAATTATCATTATATGAGAATATTTTTTGGATTTCAAGAATATTGTAAATGTAATATGTAGGACATAAAAGGTTGCATGCACAATGGGTATTGATAGATGAGTATTATTAGAGGCACTCAGGTTTCTAAGATCCCAGGGAATGAACATCAACTCAGTATTCTTTATACATAAAATAAATATCATGCCTCAAGATCATAACAGTTAATAATGAAATATTTTAATGCAGTGAAATATTGGTGATGTCTCGGCAATCAGATTATGTAGCCCCAAGATTATTTGAATTCAAATATTAACCATTTGAAACAATTTTTATACAGGCACCTCTCTGAGAGCTCCTTAAGGATTTTCCTATAGTGCTTGTGTTTTGTCCTTGAAAAAAAAATGGAGTAAGATACCCTGACCATATATTTGAGTTGATCCAGAACTCAATCAGAGACTTTGCAACTTATCACAACGTATTCATACTTTTCCATTGAAATTATTGGTTTTTACAGTTTTTGAACATTGTTGAAAGTGTAAAAATTTTGATAATAACCAAAAAGTATAAGTTTGGATCATCTTTTTAGGTGTAATATATAAATCAACATCGTAAAGGTAGAGCATTTCTTTTTACCAGCAAGCAGTTGAAGCAAATATTTTCTTGTTGGCATCCAACAAAGCTGGGATAGTATAAGTATTTATTATAATCATTTGATGTAATTTCCTTCAAAACCAAAATTTTCCTTAACTGACCAAACACGTATTACAAATGAATCTTCAATAAAAATTGATGATCTTTCACATGTAAAATGCTTTAATGGTATTTTCTTCATGCACATTGGTATGCACTATATTTATAATATCTAGCAATTTGGTACACAAGATATATGATTTGATATTTCTGAAATATTTTCTGAAGTTTTGTACACAATGTTCTTGTTGATTCTATTACAAGTTTTTTTTAAATAACCCTTCCTAAGAGTATTATTATATTAAAATATATTCTTAAAGTAGATAAGTATTATTTGTCTGTGGTGATTTTAATTCTAAATAAGTTATTTAATTTTACTCTTTAATACTCCCACACAAAACTAATGTCATTAAATATTGTGTATAATTTTTTGTGAGACTCGAATTACTAATTTTCTTAAAATTGTTTTGTTAAATACTGGAAAATTTTACATGACAAGTTCACAATTGCATTCACTGTGCATTTGTTTGAGAATATATGTATATTGTGTCAGTTTATTTCAGCAAAAATTTCAAGAGTTTTTATTTGATTTTGGTAGGACAGACTATTCATAAAAAATGTTAATTTTCTGATTAGTATAATAATGGGTTATAAAAACTTGACACAACTTCAGTTGAATGAGAAAAGAATTCCATTCAACTCTTTACAACCGAAATATGATTTTTATAAAGTGATATTGGCACATGGATTTACTGCTCTTAGATAATTTGTAGAAGTTTTGGTAATTTCCATATAAGAAAAAAAAATGAATATATCAAATACTTTCATTGAAATTTTTTGTGGGAAATAAAAGTCGAAGGGCAGATTATTTAGTTGTGATAATGGAAATGTTTTTTTTTCAAATCAATAGATGATCATACAGCGAGCGATCTGTTGTATTTTGCCAATTTGTTAGACACAAAATATATAACGGAAGGAAAGTGAAAACATTTTTTGTAGGCCACATTCAAATTGAAGGAGACATTTTTTTCACGCAGGAAATTTTTAATTTTTCTTTTACTTCTGTATATCAGATGCATCTCTCTTATATATTTTTAAAAGAAATGCTTTATCGTTGATATAGGAACATGAGAAGTGTTTATTCAATCTGTTGATGCCTATTACTTCTTTCAGAGTTTCTCTACCTCTCATGCAGACAAGTGACATGAAGTTGAAAATTTTATAAGGTGAATACTGCAGAATATTAAATAATTTGTATCTACACTTGACGAATTCAAACAGCAATTGAAAATACATTTTTAACAACACTTTCTTGTGAGATTTAAACTAAACAGTTTACAAAATCATATGTGTTTTACTATACAATAGCATCTTTAGACATTCAATAATTATTAAAGTATTAAATCTACTTGAACAGGAAAAAACTATTTGTAAAATACATATTTGCATTTTGTGAATTTTTGTGTGTAAATCTTGCGATTAATTTGCATCAAATGAGTTTTTTCACATAAGATCTTTGTTTCTTGTTATATTAGTGTGATGCTACAAATACTGGTAATAATTGTTTTATCCTATGATTATTTTTAGAAAGCGTTATTCACTATTCTTTAACAAAATTTGGTTGTATTCATCACCAATGATTTTTTTGATATTTAATAAATACCAGTTTGGAATTTGGAACTATTAAAGATATGAAGCAATGCTGGTAGATCTATATACATTTGATTTACATAAAATTTTCAGCTTCCTGAATAGCTTATAGTAAAATTTCATGGTTTATTATTTTACCTTTTATTTACAGGGGTTTTGAACTTCATTTTCATTATTCTCAATATTTATTCTTTAGATTCATTAACTGTGGTGACAATTACATCTTGTTGTATGAATATTAAAGTAGGCAGACAAAACACCTGAATTGGTGAGAACAACATAGTTGATATCCATAATACGTGTTGATCAATGCTGACATGATGCAAAAGTATATTATTTAAATCAATGATTATGGATTTCAACTAGAAAGTTGATTTGAAAGGTGGTAAAATGGTACGGAAATGGACCTGACCTTACTGCCATGTTTATAGGTTAAGAATCTATGGGCGATAGACAGGTAACACGCATTGAGTACATTCACTGTTCGCCTAGTTGTTGTCTCCCACTGACTTCGTAGAACCCACCTAGAGTACATCGTTCTCTACTACATACGTCTGCTTAAAACAATCGAGAAACTACTGTGAGCCAGTGCGAGATAGCCGACTCTTTTGGGCATGCCCCTAGTGCAACTACCTAGTTGATTTGATCACACTTCTACTAGCTACAAAGTTTTCGACACGGCCACTACTGTATCACAAGATCTTTCACAAAAAATGGTAAAAAACCTTTTACAAATTTATAAACTAATTAACTTTACAGTAATGTGAGTGTATATAAGTGTAGAAAGAAATCCGGCGATATAGGGCCTTCTATTTAGGTTTGAATGAAAGATGCCGCACACAGTTGCTGATAAGGTGTTGAAAGTGGAATTCGGACTACTGTCTTTGGCCAGTGTACTGTTACTAAAGGTTTTTCTTGTGGCTGGTTGTTGAATTTGTTTATAGGTTATGAAGAAGATTTGGGAAACAAAGGCTGTATGTTCAAGTCCAGCTGGAAACTTTACAAATAAAATCTTTAAAGTTACATTTAGAAGGAATATGAGGAACTTGTTTTATTGCTTTTTTAATGAAAAGGGATAGTTTCTGAAAGAAATAGTTTGTTTTTATTATGATTTTATCTCTTTTTTGAAACAGTAAACTGTACTTGACATATAGTATACATTAAAGTATAAAAATAAAATACAGTAACAGAGCTAATGACCAAAGTAAGTGAGGACACATCACAAACGGTACAACCAGAATGTATCATTGATTTTGAACGAGGTAGTACTTATCTTGAACAATTCAGGTTTTTAACTTGTCAGGTGATTATTTTTACCATAACTGAGTGAAAGATTCCCTGAATCTAAGCTAAGTTTCATTCTGCCAAGTAATATACAATGAATTTGAAAGCAGGATTACACTGCAAATCTTTTTTTAAATATCATTTACAAATAACGACTTTTTCATCAAGTCCTTTAATATGTAAAATAGTGACAATCGTATATTTCAATGTTCAAATGAAAGTAGTTGTTTCGATAGGGCATTTTCTACTATATATTTTGTATCTGACAGAAACTGCACAATCTACATATCTTTGATGAGAGTTTACTTAAAATTTCATTGCACTTTTCCTTTCTTCGCAAGATTTCCAAATTTTTTTCATTAATGTGGAGTAGAAAGATACAGTTTTTTTCTCAGAAACTAATTTATTCCTAAAAATATCTATCATTTCAATTCGAAAATCTTTTCAAATTATTTCATTTAATTCAATTTATTACGCTATTCTTGTATGTCTCATTGAATAGTTGATAAGCTTGTACAGGAATTGGTGGTTAGAAAAAATGTATCATGGTGTGTTAGTCGCACAAACATCCCAATTTTTATCTCGAAATATTTTTACCATCGATTACTTGTGTGTATTATGAGAACAAGTGGTGAACAGTAAACGTAATGTAATCATAATACACATGCAATCCCAGTTGTGGAAAATGTATGTAGTCAGACATGACCACTTAATGAAAAGGAAATGCTGAAAATACACAGTAGAATAAGTGGTTTTTGAGGTGTTTGTAATCCACATCAACAACAATTCATTGTCTTCGCAAATTAATGAATACACCTTCAACAAATTGTTTCGAATATGATATTTTTGAAACATCTTCGAATTTCCATGAATTTGGTATGAAACTTATGTAGATTTTTTCATAAATGTTTCGTACTTTTGTAGTTGCAGAAACTTGAAAGACCTTTTGTAGAAAAAGATTTGTTTATAGACAAAATGCAAAACAAAAACAAACTATTAAAAGCCTTGAAGCAACAACAATACTCATCAACAAAGCAAATAAAAGTAAGGGATCCAATCATACATTTGAAACAGACTATCAGCCAGAGTAAAAAAAAATTCAGAAAAATCAAGAAAAATGAGTATGAAGTTCAGTATGACGCAATTAAGGTAGACATAGAGTTCATTCAAGTAGTACGCAATCCACAAAAGTTCTATCCCCTCAACATTTTCTTGACTCATTTGGAATTTCTTTGCATTTCTTGGGAATTTAACGCACTAGCCAACTGTAATGATAGGTCCCAGAAAAAAGTTTATATGCCAAGCAATATATGCATGAATAAACAGGGAGACTATGCTATGAATATGGTGGATAATACAGAAGCGGATTTAGGAATTTGAGATACATTTTTCACTATAAATAAATGAAAATTGAGATGTTGAGTGAACATGATATGGGTTTGAAATGGAACCAACTACTCTACTTGGCGTAATATATTCTCTTTATTTCATTGAAGAAATAGAAAACGTCGTTCAATGAATGGTGAATAGAGGAGGGATGTTCTGTTGCCATCACTTAAAATCATTATCGCCCTCTTTTTTTCACAGAACATTATATTTTGAATTAGTGACAGTTTTTTCAGTTAAATAAGTTAATGGGACTCATATTGGTTGTGGTTTGGTAATTGGCAAGATTGTTGCTTAGGCCCCATAATTGAACATTTTCTGGATCACTTGTTGGATCCGCCACCGGGACAATAGTTGTTCCACGAAAGTTGATTGAAAATGAGAAATCCAACCAAATCCTTGATTATTTTGAAATTGATGTAGAGCGACCCATCAGCCTTGCTTATTCTCAGAAGTTTTATTGACCATTCAGATGGACTAAGAGTTACCAAAATCTAGCAGATTCTTCGCCTAGTTATGTTGACATATTTATTTCAAATTGATTCAAATTTCTATTACTTTCTGTTTATCAACTCATTGATGAAGAACAAAGTGTTTTTTTTTGGATTTTGGGATTCCTTGTCCATTGTGACTTTCATGTTGGGGTGTTGCAATAAGGCATCTAGTTCCATGTCTCCACAGTCCCGTATATCACAGACAAATCTTATCAAAATAGGGAGCTTGTTGGTTTTTTTACTAGAACTTCAAAAGATCTGAACTGTGAAGGGTGTCACTTCCACCAAATTGGCAGTCCATCGTCTTTTGTGAAGAAGTGGTCCTTCAGATGAAAGTAGCAGTTTCGGTCACACCATTTTAAAAAGTGTATGATTCTACCAATGATGATTTTGTGCTGGTTACAAAATTCCCGTCAACCAGTGGTCTCCTCCAGATGATTCCTAGTGCTCATATTTCAATCAGTTTGCCTATTATAGTAGAAACAAATACTATCGATTTATCCAGAATATAATATGAAAAGTATGTAATTGGACCTTTACGCCTTTACGAATTCTTCCCCCCCACAATACCTTCTTCTGAATTATGGAAATATTCCAATTTGTATTGTGTTACTAGGTCTCGCAGCCGTTCCAGAAGTCGCTCTAGAGATCGTAGATCTCGGTCAAGAAGCAACTCGAGATCCCGCAGTCGTTCCAGACGTCGCACTAGGACCCGCTCTCCATCTCCGAAGAGGAGCCGTAGCCGCTCCCGCACCAGCGATAAGCGTTCGAGATCTAGGTCCAGATCTCGTAGCAGGTCTGCTGTTAAAGAAAATGGCAAGTCCGGAAGTAAGGATTGAGTTCTAGCATTTATATCATCAGTTTCTGATTAAGTGTTTTCTGTATTTTTTTCTACATTATCACTTCTCTGTAGGAGCTTAGTAATAATTATCCTGACGAGTGTTATCCACATTATTAAGTAATAAATGGTGTATCCCTGAATGCAGGATTTTTATTTCTTTAGATTTTATCAAATCATTTTTCTGTAATATTGAAAGAACAAAATAATAATGATAATAAATTTGAATCAATCGAAGAAAGCAACAAATGAATGATAACACAGCTCTACAAAATTTTTTTTTGTGTTGCCCTGGATATTTTTGCAAATTTTTATGTTTTCGAGTGCCTAAATCACGAATATATTTATTATCTGTTTTATCACCATTCCTTAACTTTCCATTTTCATATAGGTTAGTTTGTTATTGTTTGGATAGAGGTTATCTAAAAGATCCAACCCTGCTAAATATTCAAAATTTGACAGAAAGGATGTCATTCATCTTCAGTATTCTCAACTTTGATGAAATGTCACTAATATTCCTAGTTTGACCTCCAGAATCTATCTGTTTCCTTTTTCCTTTTTTATTGTGGGCTTATCAAAGTGGAACATGTGGTTCTGATTTTCTCAAGTTATAGAGGATTTTCTGAGTCTGAAAAATAAAAAGTAGTTGTAAAACCATCAAGAAAATTGTCATAGGATTGATATTTCAACCATCCAATGTGGATTTTGGTTTTCAACTAACCTTAAACGTTTCCTGACGAAACTCTCTCCGAGACCACCCTCCATCGAAGGTAGGTATTCTGCTGGGACACATTCTGGGGATTANGATTATTATTATTAATAATTAATTGATATTTGTTTTTTTTTTCTTTTTTGGTGTTCTATATTATTATTCAATTGTTTATTTTTCAATCACACTATCTATGTGTTCATTGTATAATGGCAAGTCCGTAAATAAATAAATAAATAATTATTCAGAAAAAACATTTAATTGATGGAACTGGATGAATAATAATAATAATAATTTTTATTAGTCTCAAGAAACACAGTTTTTAGACACGTCAATACAATTTCTAAAATAGGTTTGAGAGGGTAAGATTTGTCAATATAGTTTTAAAAAAATGCTGGTAGATAAATTAGATTTACAAAAAAAATACAAGTTAACAAGATAAAATTCCAATCTTATAAGACTTGACTAAAATGTAAAGCCATGAGCTTTTACAAATTATAAACACATAGCTAACGTATTACATATATTTCATATAAAGGATGTTTGGCTAATATTTTCTTCAATAAGTTTTTGAATCTTCTAAATGGCAAGTTAGGAAATTCGGCAGATAAGGCATTGTATAGCTTAATTCCTATATTATCTGTTCTTTTCAACCTATTAGCTGTACGAATAAGGTTTGATTTATTTTTGTATCATGTTGGTTATATCCTTGTGAGCAACTTCATTCAACAAGTTTTGTTGAACAAGAAGCAGATTTTCATAGACAATAACTGAATATAGGGTCATTATTTTAAGTTTTACAAATATTGGTCGACACTTTTCATCATAATTGGCAGAGATCAATGCTTCTTACTGCAGATTTTTGAATGACAAATATTCTATTAAGATGTACCTTTGATGCATTATTCCAATTGATTATACCATATACCTAAGGACTGAATGAAAAAGAGAATGATATGTTGCAAGTGCCGCACTTTGATTTACTATTTTTTTAATTCTTCTGATAGCAAAAACGTCTTACTAAGTTTACTACACATGCTATTTATGTGTTCTATCCATTTCAGGTAGGAACCTATTTGTACTCCCAAAAATTTGGTAGAATTTTTGTTATCTCGATTTAAGCAAATTGTTTCAAAAGATAGAGTTTCTGTTTTTTGTTCATTGAGAATTAAGTCATTTGGTGTGAACCATGATCGAGCTTTCTCTAATATGTCAGTATGGATCATATGAGGATCATCTATTTTATATATTTTTTTGCCCAAGGTTGGGCTGCATACAATATAGTTTCTATGCCTGACGAGTTCATCACGTGAGGTAGGTCGTTGATATATATTAGAAACAGAAGTGGCCCCAATATTGACCCTTGTGGCACTCTTAATATTTTTCTTTTTTCACTTTTGGTATTTCCTAGATCAGGGGTCTCCAAACTTTGAAGCCTTCGGGCCATAATGATTTTTTCAGTTTGTTCCAAGGGCCAATTTCTGCCTTTAACTATATTTCTAGACTGGGATAGTCGCAAAGTGCGTGATCTAAGCAAACTTACGCTTTTTTTGCATTTCAATTATTATTGTGTATTGTGACACTTAACGACATCTAGTGGCGAGTAGTGGTACTATGTACTATCTTTTTCAGCTATCCGCTAGGTGGCATTAGGCGTTGATTTTTATTCGCGGAGTAGATAAAAGCTATGAAGTGTATGAAGAACTTCTTGATATTGATAGTATTCACGGCACGACAACTGGGGCAGATATTTTTAAGAGAGTTGAAAATGCCATTAATAAAAAGAACCTTCGATGGAGAAATTTGAAATCTATAACAACTGATGGAGGCAATAATATGTATGGTAAAAATAAAAGAGTGGTTGCACTTGTGTCAAAGGCTGTAGAAAATGATGGTGGTTCAAAACCAATAGCCTTACATTGTATCATTCATCAACAGTACTTGTGCGGAAAATGTTTGGATATGTCTAAGTTCTAAAACCAGTCATATCAGTTGTTAACTTCATCAGATCCACTGGGCTGAATCACCGACAATTCCGCGAGTTTATTCAACAGATTGGAGAAAATGATTTACCACATCATACTGCCGTACGCTGGCTTAGTTGCGGAAAAGTCCTTAAGCGCTTTTTTGAACTTCGAGCAGAGATCGAAATTTTTTTAAATGAGAAGCACCGCCCTTTTGCCGATTTAGAATATATTGAATGGATGTGGAAGTTAGCCTTCTATGTCGATTTGACAAATCATATGAACGAACTGAATTTGAGATTGCAAGGAGAAAATCAGCTCCTCCCTGATTTATACACCAATATCAAATCCTTCAGGCAGAAAATAATACTATTTTAATCGCAATTACGTAAAAAATGTACAAAGTACTTGGGATCTTCCAAATGCTGGTGATGTGGTCGCAGTAGTTTTTTTCGATCTTTCTAACATCTTTGATTGAGTCATAAAAACAGTGGAAATCCCAGAGGGATGGTCAACTGAAACTGGTGTGGCATAGCGTTCCACAGTGGGTCCCGCTTTGTTCTTAGTATAAGTGATTGATTTCACAAATATTTATATTACCCCCTTGTATACTCCTCCAATGAGAACCTTTTCCTGTGTCTGATAAAGTATAACGCCATACCTCTAATGGTGCTTGTCCCAGTTTTTCTGATGTTTCAAATTTAATATAGATAGGTACTGAATGATATTCTTATTATGTCATACATAATTGAATGCAACATGTTTGATGGTCGAAATTGTTCAAATATTGTTTTTGTTGGAAAAAGGTTAAAACATTTTCGTAGGAAACAATTTATTTTTTTGCGAACGATCCGGATTTTATTAAATTAATCATCAGAGCTCTACAAAATTATTTCGGCACTTACCTGTTGCACTCAATATAAAATAAATCGGAGGCTCTTCAGGAAAAAAAAACAATATAGTGAATTTTACTAGAAAACTTTAATGAAAACACCTAAAATTATTATTTACAAAATACTTAACGAAGTGGAAATGTCAATTAACTTCGACATCAATCTGGAAAAATGAAAAGAAAAGGAATCAAACCTTAATTTTTGGCTATTTTACTTTTTACTGTCAATATCAACTCATCGACTTATAACTTTTTTACCTGATGAAATGACTACACGAAAGCCATGATTAACAAGTAAACGTACAACTTTCAAAATAATATTTGAATACATTACATTTCTTTCACAAAAATCAATATTTCCTAAAAATATACCCTTTCAATTCGAATTAAATATATATTCATTCTGAAAATCTTTGCAGCCCTTATGTGGCTATTAGTATTTTGAGCTTTGCTGTTGAATTTTGATATTTTGGAACCCCAACATTGAACGACTAATAACCTGTACAATAGTTTGAACAAAATAATCAGATGTGTTACTTTTTGATAAAAAAAAATGATTTGATTATGTTGTGGTAAAACTCTAAAACATTATGTAGATGATAAATTGAAAAAGAAGATTCCAATGCGACTAACAGACAAAAAAATATGAAATTTGCATTTTAAATTTGACTGCTGTCTTCAAAAGTTGTGCATTTAGATAACTTCCTACCGATCCTTCCCCACAAACGGTCTTCAGTTCTCTCCAAATACTTGAGATTTATGGAATTCAGCTCAAAATCTAATTGACGAAAATGTGACAAAAAAATTTCAATACTTCCATACTTCAATACTTCCCAATTTTTGGTTTACATATCGAGACATTTTTGTAGAAATTTCACATAAGTTCTCTCCAGCCAATTTATAAAGATCTTCATCCCATCCATGAAAGTATTTAATATTGTTGCCAGTACCCAAAACTTTGGATGCAAAAAATGCAAAGCAAAACCACCCATTCACTTACAGAATCAGTAGCACCCTTCGAAGGTTCACTTTGTGTACTATTCCCCAACCTCTCTGCCTCCTGCTGAGCAGTGTGCTCATGAGTATGATGCGCGGCTCTTTTATTCCTAGCACCACCCACCCTGGCCAATCTGATGGAACTCTGTGATACCAGAACTTCCGTTGGTAGAGGTGGAGTATCCAAATCCCTGCTGAGAACCCTAGCGCTAGCTTGAAGTTGTGGAGCGTTTTTGTCGATCGAGTCAATATTCAATGGCGGCAGCTCGCCTTTGAATTGCCCAAACTGAGGTCTACCTGTGATGAAAGCTGACGCTTTGGATATTCTGCGATCGAAGAAAGAGGATCGTTCCGATAACTTGGCAGTCAAGCTCTGCCCCGACACTTTCTTACCGTCGTATGTAACCACCACGTCTGGAGGAGAGGCGATATCTAAACTAGACTCAGGCAGTTCAATGTCGATATTCGATGGCTCTTGCACTCTGTCAATAGGTTTCTGGTTCAAAGGAGGCAAGTAGTAACTCTCCACCCTTTCAGCTGCAGCAGCTTCTTGTAACTCTTCTGACGCTGTCAAGCTTCGTGGGTGTTTTACCACTATTTTCACGTACTGTTGACGTTTTTTATTAACGGGTCTCTTATGAACCTGTTTTTCTTTGAGGGGTTTGAAGGTGGGCGAAGGAACAAATACTGGTTCGAAAACGTGAAATGGTTTGTATTCGTACTTGCTCTCGTGCTTTACCATTCCCTTCTCGCCATCCAATCCGATTTCGGGTTCGTTCAAGTCAACTCTATCCTGGAACTCTTTGGTTATGATCGGTTTGAAACCCCCTTCAATTTTTACAGAATCTGGTTTGAACCCGGTGTTGAAAGCTGGGCGCATGAATTCTACGAGGGATATATCTATGGCAGAGGTGCTTGGAGCTGTTTGGATCTCAGGCTCTCTTTCTGTAGAAGGTTGCTGGGCAGACACCTCAACATTTCTTAGTTTTTCAGTTTTACCATTGATTGACAAGCGAAAAGCCTGTGAGTGTATGGGTGGGGCTTTCGTTATTGGAGGATAGGATTGAGTTACGATTATATTAGTGGATAGAGGCCGTTGAACAGAACTGCCAAGATATTTTTTGTTGTAATCGTAAAGCGAAGGACGCGGTGAGTGAATTCTGAAAGGGGCTCTGATGATTTGTTTTTTGTGCGGTAACATCTGAATTCCGAAGTTCCTTATTGGTGCCGGTGGACGCATTTTTATTACTGTTGGCATTGGATATTTGCTATGATTTAGTACTGGTCTTCGAAGTGGTTTGTGAGGTAGGGCTGGAGGGGGCTGGAGGTAGGTTTCATTGAGTAGAACGGTATCTATGGCTAGAATATCGGTTACTTGGGGGGAGCTTTGAGAAGTCGAAGGGGCTTCAGTGGTTGTGGTGCTCGTAGTAGAGTTGCTATTGTATTGGTCCATTTCTGAGTGTGATGAGGTGCTTTCGTAGGCAGTATTAGAAGGTGTGCTGGTTCTGAAGTTCCTGTTCTGTTCCATGTGGTGCAGCGGTTCAAGATAGTATGGATTGATAGCATGCATTTGAATGTGTGGTTTTGTTCTTTGGTGAAAGGAATTGTAGTAACTCTGTTGCGGTGTAGTGAGAATATTTTCGTTTGGTAACTGCCACTTTGGGTTCCCTTCTTTTGGATGAGGATCTGGGTGTGGTTCGGGATTTACTTCCTTCTCTGAAATTGTGTATTTAGTTTCTGAATCGTCCTTGACTTCCTTAATTATAGTATTTGGCTTTACCCTTGTTTCGATGCGAATAGATGGACTTTCGTCTAAGTCTGAACCGGATTTTTCGAGGAACTTGCTAGGAGCTGCAACAATGGTTATTTTGGTTTCACTTGCAGCTGGTTGCTCATCACAGTAGTCATGGACATGGATTTTCCACCCCAAATGTCGGTGAGTGAAGCACTGAAATACATATTGAATGAATACCCTGGACTGAATTGTACTGTAAGAAAGTGGACTTATTGTTTACCTGATAATAAACTGTGTCAGGTGTGTCTGCGTCAGGCGTCCATTGAATAACCCCAGGTTCGCCTTGATCGCATTTCAGTTCTAGTGTGCGCTGGTAGGCTCCGAAAGATTGGAAGTCATCAGCTTCTAAATCACCAGTTTGTGTCCAGTGACAAAGACGACCAGTACCTGTTGGAATAATGGTTCCATCTTTCGCTACACGAACACCAGCAAAATTTCGGACGTTCTGAAAAATAAAATTGGTATCGCTGCTATTTAATATCGTGAAAAATAGTTTGCCAAAGTGTCGAAGTAGTGTACTGACCTTTCTTTCTTCAGGTGTTTTGTATTCATAACCACCTATTGGATCATCTGTGATGTAAAAGGGATGGTACTTTGCTGAGACTTCGGGATCCAGTCCACCTTCTACAACGAAAGTATAGGTTTTTCCTCGAACAACATTGATTTCCGGAATCAAAAGTCCGTTAATATACCACGAGATACCCCATCCAACGTGTCCTACAAATAGAAAAGGTTCAACATAAATATTGGTGTTGTTTTTTGGGGTTCATTGATTAGGTAATAAACTTTCAATTAGCGCACTTCAATACTTGTACTTATACTTGCACTCATACTTCTATAGAAATAGAACGAATACAATTGTTTTTCTTCAAACATACTTTTAGTTCCTTAAAAATGTACCCCAAACAACGTAATTCGATTAGAAACTAAAATTGAGTTATTTTAGGTTGAAAGCTATGAGTAACTGGGAGCTTTCGAAAATTTGATTCTTGCATTTATAACAGCTGCAATGCAATTATAAAAAGTTCAGTAAAACACAACTTTGCTTGAAATCATGGCTGAACTATTGTGGCAGATTAATGAATTAACTGTCTTGAACAGTATTTCCAACAATATTTCAATAATTACAAAAAAATTCGCCCCGAAATTTCATCTTTGGCGTGTGTTGATACCTGCAGGACTCTCCATATCTGCACTGTGAAGTTCGATGGAAGTAACACTCCACAGTCTTCATATTCGGTCGTGAAAGATGGTTACCGCACACCAAAATCTTGATGCCGCTGGATCTGAATATCGTTTCCAACATGCTTCTCATAATTCTCCAATCCAGCGTGTCGAGCCCAGAGGCTAATTTCGGAATTGCCAAGTCTACAAGATTCTGGTTGAGCATCGTGTAAGACTCCTTACATAGGACGGTTCATAGGACGGTTTGTCTCGAGAATGCTTTTTGGTCACCAAGTAGAAAATGTTTCTCTGGCCCTTCTTCAACTGTAGCACTCCCCCGACTTCTAGATTCTGTTCTCGTAATGTTTGGAGCTGACCCAATTTCTTGTTGAATACCCTGACATTTGGACATCCTCTGCCATGCAGTGAGCTAGTGCGTAATCAACTGGAACCTTGAAAGGGTCTCGTGGCTCTTCTTGAGTTATCTAATGTACGACTTTCTGTCCGTTCGAGTATAAATAATACATGAACTTCTGGAACGTATTTCATGCTCTGGTGATCTGAGGGCGCGAACTTGGTCGTGATTTCCAGCATGAGGAGCCAATCTTTTGAAATGGACAACCTTAGGCTTTACTCGAGGTGGCTTATGGATTCAGAAGACGAGGTCATTTATCTTCTTCATGTTTTTGTACGGACCTTTCCATGAGTTCCGCAACTTCGGTGATAATTCACGGCGTCACTGTACAGCCAAACTAGGAGACCACTTTCGAAACCTTCAGCATTCGCTTTGATGTCAAAGGCTTTGTTTATTCTATCGCTGGCACTCTGGATGTTCAGACGGACCTGTTCATGGATGTCGTCCATTCTCTATCGAAGGTTGCTGACATAGTCTTGTGTCTTGTACCGGCGGCGTCCCAAATTTCAGATCGTAAGGAAGCCACGGCTCTCGGCCCATTATAATACTGTCAGAGGTTTTGCCGGTTGACTCGTTCGGTAGTACCGATAGGCCAACAGGAATAGGTGGATGTACTGGTCCCAGTCTCTATGGTGGTTAAAGACTACCTTAGACAAGTGGCGGTTTATAGTCTTATTCATTCGTCCCACCATTCCATCGGACTGTGGATGTAAGGATGTAGTTCTGGTCTTTCGAATGTCCAACATTTTACACATTTCTTGGAACAGGTTGGACACGAAATTTCTGCCCTGGTCCGAATGCAGCTCCAATCGGACACCGAATCGACATACCCATTTCTTTACCAGGACGTCAGGGACGGTAAAGGTTCCTGTATTTGTTCCTATGGTCGGACTCTGGGAACGGGCCGGCGATATCGATGGCGATTCTCTCAAAGGGACTACCCACGTTACATTGGCGCATTGAGCTTTCGGTCGTATCCGAGGTCAGTTACTGGCAGCACATATAGCATACTCCAGTGACTCCATCATGGATTTCTTTGAGCACTTCCCGCCATCTGTTCCATTGGGTCCATTGGATCCAGTAGGACCCAATGGCGCTGGCGAATAACCTGCTACCTCCTGCCACGATGGTCTTCGAACAGAAGCGTTGATTAAATCTCTTTTCAACTTCTTGAATGAGTCTTGGCATTTCTCGGACCACTGGAACTGGATATGTCCTTCTGTAAGTCAGGTCAATGGTTTGGCGATGTTGGCGAACCCCAGCACATATCTGCGATAGTAGGTGCACAAATCAAGGATGCTCCGAAGCTTCCTTGATTTGTGCTTTGATCTTTTGTTCGTCTACTGCTACTTTTACCCCAGAGACAACGTGGCCAAGGTAACGGACTTCTTTCTGGAACAGATGTCATTTCTTGGGACTAAGTTTCAATCCAGAACTTCTTAGACACATAAATATCTCCTCCGGATTTTTCAAGTGATCGTCGAACGATTTTCCGACTACGATTATATTGTCGAGATACACTAAATACATCTGAGACCCCTTGAGAACCGTCTCTATCAATCTCTCGAAGGTCGCTGGAGCATTACAAAGCCCGAATGGCATAACCGTGAACAATTCATCTTGCCTATATCCACTCTTCAAATCTAAAGTCGAGAAAATTGTGGAGCCGGCTAGCGTGTCTAGGGTGTCGTCAATTCTTGGAAGAGGGTAGCTGTCTTTCTTTGTCACGTTATTTAGTTGGCGATAATCCACGCAGAACCTTGTCGAGCCGTCCTTGTTCTTCACTAATACGACTGGGAAAAACCAGGGGCAGTCAGAAAGATCCATGACTCCTTCTTTCTCCATATCGCTGACTATCTTGTCTGCCTCTTCTTTCTTGGCAAGGGGGAGTCTTCTAGATGATTGCCGGATTGGTCGGGCAAATGGACGAACAGTGTCCCAGCATTTGTTCATTTCTTCAAGGTCACAGGAAAGTAGTTGACATTCATATTCCTGATCAGCACAACTTTATCAACACGTAACAGGGTCTTCCCCAGTGCGATTCCTCGTCCAATTTTCTCATCATGTATCTTGGGCTCGAACATTACCACTTTTTCGCTGTTCGCACTTCCGTCCAGGCGAGCCTCCAGGATGGTTTCAGGCCTCTCAGGTATGTACACGTCTTCAGCCAATAGGACCATGATCATCTCTTCGCTTCTTCCATGAAGCACCAGCTCATCTCCGCCGACATGTAGGGCGCCGTCTTGAAAATTCAGCTCGAACCCTCTGGAATTCATTATGTCCGTTCTAATGATCACATCGTCCTTGATGTTCGCCACCAATGCCCGATGGTTCAATTTAGTGCTGCCCAACATAAATTCAATAGGTAGTTCTCCAAGTACAGTGGCAGGCTCTCCTGTTGCGTTGCGGTGCGTAGCTTCCAACTTGACGGTTCAATTCTTGCCGGTGTTTTGGCAAAGAATGGTTCTCGTCGCACCTGTATCTAGCAGCATGGTACAAGGCTCGTTGTTGATGAGGCCGTCTACGAAAACACCTTTGTCTTGTCGTTGGAGAATGGCAATTATTGGGGGCTTGCTGGGAACAGGCCGACGATTGCCTCTTCTCATCGAACCCCTCTAGTTTTCCTGATATGGTATTGGTTCTTTGAATGCTGGACATTTGCTACGCACATGCCCTTTCGTACCTTTCCGATGTGAACGAGTTGGTATACCTAATTTTTCAGCAATATTGCGCCCTCCTCTGCAAGATACTTATATCTACACACCTGTGGAATATTTTTAAACTAAGCTCTTTAATTATTGATGAATAGATTAAAATATTTGTTTGAGATTTCTTGTTTCTTGTATTAACATCTATGTATGATCAAAGATGAACGAAACAATTTTTAAAAATAAACACCATTGCATTTGCTGTATCATAAGGAATAACAGAGACAGTAAAAAAGTAAGAGTTTACATATTTGATGGTGAAAGTGAAAGAAAACGAAAATCGAGAAATAGAAGCAACAATAATGGAAAGAAATCGAAACAATATCAAAAACCTTATCAAAGTCGAAATTTGTGTCAAAAAAACTAAGTAATTAGGGCAACAGCGATATATGCCAGCAAAAGGTGGATGTTAATGAAAATATAAAGAAAGAAAAATAATTTCGAAACATATAATTTCGTATAATTGAATGATTATATGAGAGTAGCTGTTTCGAAATGGCTTTTCTTCATGTTCGTGACTGAAAGTTGTTGAGTCTCATCTCAATTATTATATTGATAGTACGATTTTTATTAAATTCACATTTTATTATTTTTATCATATTGCGCCTTTTAACGGGATTGAGTTATAAAATACCAAGCCGTAAGATTATTACTTCGAAATTCTAAGCATTCGAATTTCAATTAAATTTTTATACCTAAGATTGTATCCCTCAAAATCTTCAAAGGCTTATAAATGGCCAGCTTATCTATTGCTCCGTAATCCATCACAAATCTAGAGAAATATTTGAAATTAATAGAATTATGAAAGGACCCTATTGTATTTGCTCTCTTGGGTTTTTCTAATATTACACAAAGGATTAAGTCTGGTTCTGTAATATTTCTTTCATGAATATTTCCATCTGGCTGTAGCAACTGAAAAGGTTGGCATCTGTGAATCTTTTCATCTGTGGGGTGGGCCTTTTCAAATGTCTACCCAATGAGGTGCCTCCACCCCCTGAATTATTCTCCTACCATAGTAAGTTGCTCAAATCTCAGTTCGATATTGTAAATTTAAAATTAAGTTAGTATAAGTTGAACCTTTGTAGAGAACAGTTGAAATAAACACTTGTCTGTGCTATCTTCGCACTCCTTTTATTTGACACAAGACTTAGTGCAAGCCTTGTGTGTAACTCAAATACGGACGATAAAACAATCGTACGTCAAAACAAAAGTTACTTCTTTGATGATCTAAACATCTTTGTATATAGTTAATATTTTGGAATTGATTGCTTCCTTCGTTTATTTGAAAGATTCACACATTTTTCACATGAAGATGGAAAAGTAGGACGCCAACACCTTTCTCTCCCAAAAATTGATCTTTCCTAAAAATATACCCCTTTCAATCTAGTCCCTACTGAATTTTTATCTATGAATTAATATGAATTTTTTTCGCTATGAGATTGTAATTAGTGATTCGTCAAAAACAAATGTTTGAAAGTGAAGTGAATTTGAATACAATCTGATAGATTACATAACCGCTATCTCACCTGTAATCGCAGGATATCCTCTCTTTCCACCAGTTGGTCCCATTTGTGCGTAGAAAACCCCATCTTCTGGTTCATAGCACTGTATAGGAGGAATATCCCAAGCTTCACGCTTTTTCACTGGAGTTGGAGGGGGCACAGATCTTACTGCCGTTGAGGCTTCTCTTTGAGGAATCCTTCTCCTCTGTTGTGTCTGTTCTCTGTTTCTAGAAGCACTATTCTCGGAATCACCGGCACTTTCTTCCGGAACCCTAGCATTTCCTCTCACGCTACCTCTTCTTCTTCCTCCATTGCCGTTGGACCTCCTGGGGGAATTCGTAGTCGGTTTCACTGGTGCTTCGTACTCCTCCTCCTCCTCTTCCACCTTCCCTGCAACTTTAGATTTGATTGGGCTACGAAGAGGTACCATAGATGGTTGTTCGTTTTCGGGCATGGGGCAGTTCCATTTGGCTGGACGGCCGAAGTCAATGAAGCGGTTTTTCTTGAGGTAGCTGCTGTGGAATGATACCTCCTTTCTCTGGTTGAGTGGACCTATGGCCCAGATGATAGCTTGAGTGTGATTCGTGAAGATTTGCCGATCGAATTCATCGGAAGCTCTTAGGGGTCGTTGGTAGGTAACTATTGAGTAACCGTTCACCATGGCAGCGTTGAGAAGACGGATGTTGTTGGAATTATCCTGAGGTTGTAGAAACAAAATAAAGTGTTAAACTACGGACACAATTGTTTTTACTGGCATAATAAGTTCCATTAACATCTGATATAAATGATACAGTTTTCTTTGATTAATGTTTTTGGGTCTAATGAAAACATTTTTCCTACACCAGAATAAAAACACGGTCTTTCGATGAGCGTTTCGCTAAGCAAGTTAGCATCATCAGGGAATGACTGAAACTTAGTTTTACTATTTTTCGAAAAATTGTAGATGTTGAAAAAATTAATTATTATCAGAATAGGTTTCGAGTTTGATGTTTCTGAATTTGACTTTTAATTTGTTACACTAAATGACATTTTGTTATTGTACAAGTCATTGAATTATTGGTGAAAAATAGCTTTCACGAATGAAGAAAAAAGAGATTTGATTCAAATTTATTACAAATACGATAGAAACAGTGTAGGACATCGAAAATGTATTTTAACTTGTATCCCGAAAGACGACAACCACATCGAGCTATGTTCAAATTATAATTGGATCAAAATCTCACCGAGTTTGGTTCGTTTGAAAAGCCAATGAAAAAATACGGAGACAAAATCAATAATCAAAATTTTATAAATGAGGTGTGTATGAGATAAATTAGATATTATGTAATTTTCAATGAAAATAGAACTTTGAACAAATAACAATAATGAACTAAAATGTAAAGACAAAAGTAAATCACAGCAAATGCTCAAAATGCTGGCCTTGTTCATGATAACACAACTGTGCCCTTCTTCGAATATTATTTACTATTGATTTCCCTCCTCCTCAATCTTCCGAACTCTTTAACAATGCTGCGTTGAAGGTTCTCAATATTTTGATATTTCGTCTGACCATAAACTCTATTTTTCAGTGTACCGCATAAGAATGTATCCATAACATTTAAGTCTGTAGACCTTGCTGGCCACCTCACCGGCCCATTATTCCCTATCCATTTATCACCAATCCTTTCAGTCAGGTGATTAGATACTCTTCTGGTAGTTTGCGGTGGATCACCATCATGTTGAAACCAGATGTTGTTATACTTAGACAAAAGTAGATCATCCAAATAGTCTTCGAAAATCGACATTGAAAACTGGTGATAGGTTTCTCCATTCAGAATTCCGTCAAATGAATAAGGACCTAAAATTCTATCTTTGTAAGTTCCTTCCCACACGTTAATATTAAATGGCACTTAAATCGCAAATTTCTCGAAACTGCCTGGGGTTGTTTATGCTCCAGATGTGTTCGTTATTTCGGTTGAAGATCCCACAATTCGTAAAAAAACTTTTATCTGTCCAAATCACATTTTCCAGTAAAACAGGAAAGTCAGGTCTTTTTATTAGCCAATTACAAAATTCTAAACGTCTTTCGGGGTCACCTTGATGCAATTTTTGAGATATGTGTATTTTGTGATATTTTAAAACGCTTTTTTGAGATGTCGGTCGGTCGTTAGCCAAGCGGTTCGACGCAGGTGCTTTGTTCACTCACTCGAATTGACTGCCGTGTTGGTCGGTGGTTCAAGCCCTAGTCTGAGCGATCGATTTTCATTTGCTATCGTACAACTCATTTTAGGAATCACACGGTAAAAGGTAAGACCTCGTTAATTCTTAGCTCGCACAAGTTTCGACTTCTGAGGGTTGTCATTCGTAGGGGTGCGACAGCTGGTTAACGGAAAAACAGATTTTAAATAGAATTTCAAAACTTGTATGACAAATATGCATTTCTGATGAAATTTGACGTGTAGATTTCCCCGGGTTCATGTTTATCTGCAAACTATTAATTTTCATTGAAAAGGACACAATGTCTAACTTACCTCATACATATCTCATTTAGCAAATTTTCTTTAGTTTCCTGGTCCATTCTGTCTCTGTATTTTTTCTTTGGCTTTTCAAATGAACTAAACTCGTTGAGATTTTGATCCAATAGCTTGAACATAGTTCGATGTGGTTGTCGTAGACCTACGACTTTGTAGGTACGTGTGGCAGATACCCAACGGAAAAACGACAAGTAACTCAGCTAATGCCGCGCAAAGAGTTAAAGTGAAACCATCAGGCACCTGTGCAACGTCTTCGATTTGAAAGATTCGTAGCAAGTCGTTTCCCATTATGAGAAGCAGAAATTAATTTCATTTGGTCGATACCACCAACCGATAGACAGCTTTCGGAGTACTTGCTCCATCATCAGTACCGGGCATGGTCTCTTCAGAACGGCGTGAACCGTCCGAGTATCACGACAAAACAAATATAATTTCAGCTAGTCATGAACTCTTTCTGCGCCACCTGTAGACAGAGCCAGGAAACAACTCCAGAAACACATACACCGGGGTGGAAGTCGGAATAATGATTGATTTTCCGGAGAGGTGCATATGACATGCTCCAGGTTCAAGTGGAAACACCTTACCCCTTGCCTCTCATGTAGACCTACGATTTTGTAAGTACGTGTGGCAGATACCCAACGGAAAAACAACAACTTCCGTTGGGTATCTGCCACACATATACCTGATGATTATTACTAACCTTCAATCTGTTATCTGGACACGATCCTGTGGGACCAGAGCACTGAGATTTGTCTTCCAAGTAGTAATCGTCAGCGTAGCCCTTGAGAGTCTTCTTGTCTACCCATGCTACAACTACGTCTCCTCCAATCATTACGCTGCTTGAATCATCACCAGAAGGACCGAAGGACATGTATTCTCTATCATCTGAAAAAAACAAATTTTTTTTTGCTACCAATTTGAATGTAATAGAATTCGTGTTTTGAAATCAGTTCAAAGTATCTTTATGATCATCTGTTCATTTTTCTAAAGTGTTAGTGTTTTTTTGTATAATTTAGTGTTCATATAAAAGTAGTTGTTTCGAAAGGGATTTTTCGTCTAGGTTTGTGTCTGAAATTTAGTTCTTTGCTTTGCCTTGCTACACATCTTTGTAAAGAGTAACATTTTCGAAATCCATTGCTTCCTACATTTCTTTGGAACATTCCTATATTTTTTTTGTATGATGTAAAAATTGTTTGTTAATATAAACGTTTAGAGTGCACTATGGAACATGTTTTTAGAATTCAACTTTGCTTTGATTGATCGGGAATCTTCATTCTTGAAAGAACAATTCATAAAGATTATGTTGAGAAAAATCGAAATGCCTTCCAAAAAAATTCAACTTGATCCAGTCGAAAATAAAAAAAAAATATGGAGGAATTCATCCATTCATAACGTCTGTTGTATTGCAGTTCTGATGCTTGGGAGTAGTAGACCTAATCCACGCCAGAGACTTTAGTTCTAACTTTTGTATCTTTTTAATTTGCAGGCAAGTTGGAAATCTGTTCACACTTTGGCATAGGAACTTTCATTGTACTATCAGACTATGATCATAAAATGTTACACAGGGTACTATCAGACATAGAGCAGCCTCAACTTTCAAATATGGATTGGTAATGGTAATGTTCATATAATATCGTTGAATTTAAGTTTCTTTCGATAATTTCGATAGTTTCGATAATTTCATCATCATAATTATAGAAGTTATCTATTCCACAAATCAATAATGAAATGTACTCGGTGTTTGGCTGGTATCCTATTATTTTGAAGAATTTTTCAGGTAACATTCAAAATATCTCATGAACTTCGTATGAGCTTCAAATTAGGAAAAATAAATTCATTTATAGGACTAAAACAATATCATCTCATATTTGTTTCTCACCCATTCTTATTTCATCATATTTTTCAATGGGTGGAAATGGAGCCAACAAAAAAAACTTGAAATCCAACACCAGACAGCGTTTTGAACTGCCATTGGTCTCATCAGTGGTGTTAAGCTAAACAACAACAGCCTTGTCTGGTGTAGGATTACGAATGCTTTATTCTTGGGCTCTGGTTTCACCTATTCTTCATCAGTTTATGTATCTCGAGGGAATTGAAAAGTAAAAATCTCGAGTTTGAAAAATTTTAACATGACTGATTTGCAACGTGCTGTATAGAAAAACGATAGTCGGTCAAGATTAGAATCACCAAAACTTAGCTAAGAAACCCAATCAATAAACAAATAAAAAATGTAGTCTTGCTCATTTAATTTTCTTCCCTCTCAATGAATTCCGATGAAAAGACCAGTTCCCGCAAAACCAAATATTCTTTTCTTTGCGAGAATTTGAACAGAAAAAGGCATCGATCACGGTGATAGGTGAGCAAACAGTCGTACAATTTCACGTTGAAAATAAACGAATAAGAAAAGGGGCGCTGAAATGCTTCGTTTAGAGTGCAAACATGAAAATAAAAACCTCAGCAGAATTACTCGAATTCCAGAATAGACGATTTTTAATGATAACAACCTTTTAATGGCCTTCTCTGATGGTGGAAAGCGTGAGATAACGGCTAAAAACAGAGAGTTAAAATGTTGACATGGTGAAAGAATAGTTACATTCAGGTTTCTTCAATTTGTTTGAATATAACATATTTGAGAGTCCTTTTTTATTAATAGTTTTGAGCATATTTCATCATTATCTAAAGGAGTTCACTGCTAGAAGTTTGTAATCAGGAAATTCATTATAAAAATCATCAAAAAATGCTTAATAAAAATTTCAACAAAGGTCAATTTTTACATTTTGCGCTGATTCCAAGCATTGATAAAAAGAATGCACAAATTAGTATTTATTGATAGTTTCAATGCTAATTGATAGTTTCAAAAAGGTAGGTATCAAGTTTTGAGTTACATCTTTTCAATTGCTTGAGACCTTTGAGAGAGAGAAATGTTCAAAAATAAAAAATTCAATCAGAAATGACGCGACATGGTTGGTCACATGGAAAAACGGTGAAATCTTTTTCCTGAAATCTCGATACATTTTAGATACTTCGACATGATTAATCAATGATCATTCTTCACGCCGCGCCGAAAGAAGCCGAGAAAATTAGGTCCTAGAATTACAAGTATACAGGCTGATTCACGGTGTATAGCACTTTGAAACAGAAACCAGATCACTTTGAAAATCCAATGGAGAGCACATTCGCACTATTTCCACCCAACTAAAATATTTTCGACAAGGCGGTGTTGCCACTTCCATTTGAAAGTAGTAGTCCCTGTACCAGAAACAGAAACAATACCGTTTTCGAAATATGAATTAAAATGTTATCTTTGAGTTAACGAATAGTATGGTAGCTAAATTTGGTTTGGAGTTAGGTAATACTTGGAGGCTTTTCACACTTCCGCGTCATCTCCGTCACTTCAATACAGGGTGGTAAAAAAACAGTTTTTACTTTTCTTGTTAGTGGATTATTTCTTATAGAACAACCTATGTATTATTACAAATTCAGAAAGCTATTGAAATATGCTTCCTTTCTATGTACATCATGCGTACACCTATGCAAGTTTCGAACTTATGAGCATTTATTTGTGAAAATGTCCTTTCAGAATAGTATTCCCATTTGGAATTTTATAAGCAGGCCATGATTACCATTTGACAGTAACGTTGTGACATTCTCCTGATAATATTGACATTTTCGTCACATCAGGTCAACTTATTTGAACTTGAACTTGTCAGCAATTTCGCTGCAGTTAAAAATAATGTAAGTGTGCTGATTTATACGAAGGTGATACAGCTAGGCTGGAGGTCTTCAACAGTGAGACGCATTGTGTTAGAACTGTTCTGAGTATCAACAAATCGAACACAAAGTTGATCTCTTCTATATTTAGATCTGCCTATGCAATATTTTGTAGAGTTGTGAGTGTGTTTTCTAATTTATCCCACACCACGCAGTTTACAATTTTTTTTTGGAAATGGGATGTCGTTCAACATAATTGTATAGAGTTTGAAGTACAAAAACGTCTTTCTAATTGAAGTAACAGCCCACAATTGATAAGTTGGATATATGTGCAATGCAGTGAATGTAAATTGCAGTTGGATTTTCTATCCTGCAAGTCTTACAAAGACTTCTGAGAATAGTTCCTAGGGGAATATATAGTTGATTAATAGGGTATTACAATAGATACTTCCTAACTTTGCTGATCGATGATGGCCATCTTGTTGAAGCTACATCTGTCAATTTAGTTGCCATTTATTTAGTCTGTTTCGCCAAATCACCATAGACGGATATAACATTCAACAACACGTGCAAAAAATGAAATTGTCCACTGGTTCAGTAAACGATCGACCAACACACGTACGTCGACGAAACGCAAGATCTGACAAACACATCGCCGCTGTCTGTGAGAGTGTGAAGGAGAATCTGAGGGCGTTTTTGCGTCGCTCACAAGAACTTGGCCTTCCGTAGACCACAACTTGGCAAATTTTGCACCGTGACTTGGGCCTGAACCCGTACAAAATCAACTGACTCAGGAACTGAAGGTAAACAACCATAGATAACGACGTGTATTCGCTGAATGGGCTCTGGAGCAGTTGGCAACTAATCCTAATTTTCATCGAAAAATCATCTTTAGCGATGAGTCCCGTTTCTAGATGATCGGGTACGTAAACAAATAAAATTGTCAAATTTGGGACGATAACAATCAACATAAGATCCAAGAACGTCCAATGCATCCCGAAAAAGTCACTGTTTGGTGTGGACCACAGCGGTCCTCAAAGCCGACATAACTCATGCCATCGGTCAAATTCAGTCACACATAATGACATTAATAGGTCTTCCAAACGAATAAAAAATTACGATGATATCTCACACAAATTTTGTTTTATTTAAATTTAAGGATGGGAAGCGCTTAATGAAACACCTCATATTATTATGGACTGAACAGAGCAAGGGGGATTTATGAGAGGTGGTAATGGGGTTAATTACCCCCTGATAGCAACATTCAATACATTTCAAATGGATATTGTATATAAACGGGCATACTTTCATAAATAATCTCCCCTAAAAATTACCCCCCGAAATTCAAACATCTCCCTCCTAAATGTAGATTTAAATCCGCCTTTGACACATAATTATCCTCAAGAAATGCTTTCAATTTCGAAGAAGTATCATATACAGGGTGAAACTGAATAAGTGTAAAACATTTTGGAAGGTGATTCCTCATCGAAAAAAAGATAGGATCTTTCATATAAAGAAACTCCATTGGAGCATCCCCTGTTAAGATACAGTCCCTTAAAGGGGGTACATAAAATTTGTATAACAATTTTTTTCACAAGCACCAAAAAAGTTACAATATTGAAATTAACATGACGTTTTGTACTACCAAAAAGACACTTAGCCAGTAATTTATTTGGTTTACCCCATGGTTGTAAGGGGTGAAAAACGCAATAACTAAAATTTATTTCCAACGTAACTTTTTGTCTTATTATTTGTTTACCATTTAAAAATCTATTTCCGATAGCCTGTTTAATTCTAAACAAAAAATGTGTTTTGCGTTTTTTGCCCAAAATAAACCAGTTCGCAACAAAAAACTATTTTACGGGTAAACCAAATAAATTTCTAGCTGTCTTTTTGGTAGTACAAAACTTCAGGTAAATTTCAATATTGTAACGTTTTTAGTGCTTGTGAAAAAAATTGTTATACAAATTTTATGTACCCCTTTAAGGAGCTGTATCTTAACAAGGGATACTCCAATGAAATTTCTTCATATGAAAGATCCTATCTTTTTCAATGAGGAATCGCCTCCTTAAATGTTTTACACTTATTTAGTTACACCCTGTATATCGTGCTGGACTAAACTTTTCACCAAATGTTTTTGAATTGTTGAAAATTTCACTCAAAAAAGTGTGGTGACAGTATCCCGGGGAGTGACAGTATCCCGGGTGACAGTATTCTGGGGAGGCAACTGCCACCTGTTGGGATCCCCGAGTTACACCTTTGCTATCAATACGGGCAACCCAGGTCGACTCAAAATATGACGGATATCGCTTAATTCAATATTATTGAAATGAGCATAAAACATAGTATGGAAATGAATGATTTCAGAACATATGGTGAACACTCAGTACTTTCGAACGTTTATCTTCCTAATGCACCCACAAAGGTGTGTGCCGACCTTTGAAATTAAATACACAAGCCTACCTATAAACTAATCACAAAAATGAAACAGTTGTCCAACTCTGTTGCAAAATATGTGTCAAGGAGCGAAAACATATTTTATTCAAATTATCATCTTGATTCACATCAAGCGAGAGATCGATGAGAAAAAATCGAGGAGTGGTTTTTCCCTTGAACTTTACTGAAATGTAGAACTTCAGGTGACTGACACCAAAATTAACAATTTGCCAGGGCCAGTGAATGGTGCAGGTTGTTCATTATGGTTTCATTAATTTTATTGTATCTGAAGGGTAATTATTGGGTGAAAGATTATCTCTCATAAGCGAATCGGGGGAATAGTTTTCGATATACTGTTATAGATTGGATTTGTCATATTTATTCTGAGAGAACAAGTCCCAATGTGTTTCTGACTACAAATATTCAATACTGGCAGTTCAAAGTTATGTCTTTATTGAAATGAATCATTTGAATTTGAACTTCAGATCACCAATTCATATTCTGTGTGATAATTTCAAATTTTAGTATATGAGGTCTGTTCAAAAAATTTGGTAAATTTTCATTTTTCTCAAAAATACTTAAATATTTTTCAATCCTTGAGGCAGTTCTGATATGCACTTTTTGATATGACCTTGAGCTCTCTCAGCGATTCGATTTTTATCTTACCAATCGTCGCAACACGCCGCACTTTCATGGGTTGTAGCGCGCAAAATTTGGTGAATACGGTGGCTGAGGCATCATTACGGTGTTGTTTTTAGCCAAAAATTACAATGACGAGTGAGCAGATGTATTATCGTGATGCGACAGCCATGAATTGTTTTTTCACAATGTCGGCGCATAACTTTCACAAAATTCAACTCTTCTATCAAAATCATCTTCGTTCAATTGACGAATCATTTCCTTTTTGTAATAATGAAATTTGTATCGATGAAGAATTGTGAAAAAGTTTGCGTACAAACTTTTTCACAATTGAGCCGTAACTCAACTCATTCAAAGATTGTGTATTTTTCATCATGATAACGTGGTTTGGAACTGCAACATTATTGCTTTTGTTGGTGCTTATTGCTGAACGATAATGTTTCCTGCTATGGACATTGACAGTTTCTATGAATTCATGTAACGAATTCTATTTATGTTTAACGTTTCTGCCTGTAGGATGTTCGCCGAAAACACGAACACGATCAAAACTGAATAACTTCAGTTGTAACTAGAGTTTCGAAATCAAATGACTTATCCAGGGTAGATAGTATAAACTGAAATGTACTGTATAACGTTGTATAGCGTTCCTATCTTTTTTAGTACAATTCAATTTCGTTTCGGAAATTGATATATCCGGAAATACCGAGATGATGATCTCGGTATTTCCGGATGATCATGATGGATATGAAAAAGTAATGGATAACCACAAGATAACTGGATACCAAATATGTTCCATTGAAGCAACGAGTAATTTATACCACCTATGCTGATAATAAGGTGCAGAATACTGAATAACTTACTGATTCAGTTTACTGTGAGACTTTCTCTATATAGGTTTCGAAGTAACAGTTTCAATCAATGTCAAAGAAACGTCATCATAGAAGAGGACTCTAGCGATCCACAATTTAATTGTCCTCCAGAGTGTCAACTAGTGTTATTACAGAGATTATCTAGAGAGAGTATTTGGTTGAGTGAAAGGGATTTTGAATTATGTGTATGTGCGTAGATTTGATGAACGTGCTCTTCTCGACACGCGTTTCACCATTCAAGTTATCGTCTTCAGTAGATGAAGTAGATTTACTTCATCTCCTGAAGACGCCAACTTGGTTCGTGAAATGACCGTCGAAAATATTGGTGTTGAGAGAAGTGAATTTGGAGGTATGTATTATTTTGAACTGTAAATAAAATTTCTATGAATATTACTGGAGTTCTATCCCAATACCAAACCATTATTTTCAACACCACGACACGTGTTCCAATAAACAAGTGATCATCTTCAAGAGAAAGATTAAACTGTTTAATCTTCCTCTTGAAGATGATCACTTGGTGATTGAAACACGTGTCGAAGTGTTGAAAATAACGGTTTGATGTTGGGACAGAACTCCAGAAATATTGATTACCACACTAAAGATTCCAGACAGTGGATCAAAAGTAAATGGGTAATTCACACCAGAGTTTGACTTGATCTTAGCATTTTTGAATATTTTATTGATCTCTAATTATTCGTGTTCTTAACTCGTGGTTTCTCATATTATTTATTCGTAGTACGACTTTGGTTACTTGATAGCAATTATCTCTTAGGGGATACGACTTGACCAACTGCACTCTATTTTTGTCCCTACACATCCTATATATTTTCTGTGTAGAATTTAATATTTCATTAGTTTGCTCTATAATTTAGCAGAACTTACAATATATTATTTTCGTAATGTTGGAATGTTTTGACAAAATTCTGATGAACTTACCCAGTTTCGCCACCAGTTGTAATACTATGCTTTCACCAGCTACTGCCCATCGCACTTCAAATGCCAAGTCGTCATAAAGTACTTCACAATTCAGCTTCGACTGCAAAAAAAGGTTTTAGTGAAAAAGCAGTTTTGAATTCAGCTTTCGAAAAAGTGCTGGAAAATATTGTAACTCGTTCATTTGTTTTTGACTCTGGTAAATATTCCAAAACAAGGACTGTTCCCAAACACCAGAAGTGCAATACTCTCGACCCGCGTTTCACCAACCAAGTTAGCATCTTCAGGAGAAGTAGAATATTGCAGTTCTAGTGTTTCATTTGGAACATATTCTGTTTTCGGCCTCGCGCTTGGTTCTGAGAACATTTTAATCAGACTCATGTATGTTTACATTCAATTCAAAATTTTGCTTTCCGGTCTTCTTTGTACTTCACTAGAGTTTTCGATATTATTTGTGAGTCAAGAAGTAGAAAATATGTTGTCAAATTATGAAACTTTTACTTGGTTTCTAATCTTATCTATTCAAAGCTAAATTTAACTAATGTCAGAAGAATATTGCAATGAATAATATATTTTTTCAAGTTCCAAAGCAAACATTTTTAATCTCTAAATTCATCGAGAAAGTAATACAAATCATGAAATTATGAAACAACAAAAATTAATTGACGCTCCGGGGCGTCTTCATTGATTCTAGTGGCGCATTTGCTTTTTCTGCTGCAGGAAATCCCGGAAAAACCTGTTAAACGTACTTCTCCTGCAAATGGTTGGAATAATAACTGACTACTTTCGTCTCAGAGATCGGAGGACTTGAAATCAGCAACATGGGCTTATTGACGGTCGATCTACCAGTTCGAATCCACTACAACTTGTTAACCATTGGTCTGAAGAACTTGACGTAAGTTGTTCTGCCGATGTTATCTATTTCGACTTCAGAATAGAATTGGCCAGAGTACTGTATGAAAGACCTCTATGTTCAAAATATATTTTTTTGTTAACCAGCTATTGCACCCCTACGAACGACAACCCTCAGAAGTCGAAACTTGTGCGAGCTAAGGACTAACGAGATCCTACCTTTTAACGAGTGATTCCTAAAACGGGTTGGACGATAGTGAGTGAAAATCGAGCGTTATGCCTGCGGCTTGAACCTTCGTCTCACACATCGGCCGATTGACTGAGTGAACAAAGCACCCACGTCGAACCGCCCGGCTACCGACCGATATGAATTACATAATTCTGATGTTACAGACTACCTGATTATTTGGATTCGGGATTATGCCGACTTCGCATGGATGACCAACTTCCAACTTCATACCTAGCTAGCCAGGCGGTTCGACGTGGGTGCTTTGTTCACTCACTCGAATTGACTGCCGTGTTGGTCGGTGGTTCAAGCCCTATTCTGAACGATCGCTTTTCACTTGCTATTGTCCTACTCGTGTTAGGAATCACACGTTAAAGGGTAAGCCCTCGTCAATCCGTAGCTCGCACAAGTTTCGACTTCTGAGGGTTGTCGTTCGTAGGGGTGCGACAGCTGGTTAACGGAAAAACAGATTTTAAACAGATTTAAAGAGGTGTGCCCCATGGATCTGTGATTGGAACACTGCTGTTCAATATTTAACAACCGCTACTTTATTAGGTAAACTTGTCTTTTAACACGAGTTTATTTCCAAATATGATGAAAATGGGTAATATAGTTCCAATCCACAAGAAGAATAGTGTGTATTCTCTGGAAAACTAGAGGCTAGTGAATATACCTTCAAGTAATTCTTAAGAATTTGAATATGCTTTTTTTAATACAATTTTATCATTTTCTGATTTACATAATATCTTTTGAGAGAACCAAGATGAGTTTCTCAATAAGTCATCCACTACAACAGCTATACATTCTTACTACAGTAAGATGTATCAAGGCAAACGAATGCCCTGAGGGGGTATTCTGTGATCGAAGCAGGGCGTCAGACTGCGTCCATCATAATAATATTCTCCTAGAATTTCTTTCACATTGGATAAAACGTAGTTATATATTTTAAATTTCGGATATTGAAGGGGTCGGACTTGACATTATCGAGTAAAAGTATATACCATTTGTCCTTCTCCGCAGTGTCACGATCGATGCTCATAACTGCCCTAGATAATGCATCTGGTACTACATATGACTTCCCCTTTTTCTGAACTATATTGAAATCGTAGCCTCGAGGACGTAAACCCCACTAAGCAGCCCCCTGAATGGTCGCTGGGTGATATGCGGTTTCGAACGATCCCTTTGGGGAACCGGGCGAAATCTCATTGTAATCAGCATTCATCTGGTAATGCAGGGCTCTGCCAAAGGTGACCAACTTTTTCCTTGCTACTCGTGGGAACACATATATGAAACAAATAAAACAGACACAATAAAAACCAATCCCGAGGCTGGACAGAAGTGCTCACCTCAATCTATGGCGGTGGTTGGGGATGAATAGAAATGTCCACCCCAATCTACCATTCGGAATGAGGCTGGATATAGCAGATCACCTCGTGATGTAATACAAAGGCGGCACATTTGCGGTGCCAAGACCAAAAGGAGAAATAGAGTGAAAGACTCCACTCCATTCCACCTCCAACAGCAAGGGCATTTCCTGCGGCAGGCGCCAAGATCTCCGCCTTGAATAAAGGCAAGGAACCGACTGCCCCTGTAGGAAAGCGCCCTCACTTGAACACTTCCACTAGAGGAACCCCAGGAAGGTTGAAGAAGCCGCGCAACGACAGTAATGTCGCTGCACCTTCAAAAACCTTCGCAGAGGTCGCCATGAAATACCTCAAGGTTGCCAAAGAGAGTGTGTTTTCGGCGAGTCTTGGCCTACACCTGCCGATATGAAGGAGATGTTTCCTAGTGACCTATCCAACTTCCTGGAAAGGTCAAGATGTACGATGAACTAGACGGACAACTCCTCGGGAGGATGTACAATAGTCACATGTGGCCTAAGTGCTGTGGGTATACACTCACCCTCCCTACTATATACATACATACCCCAACAAGAGAGTACACCTGATGGATTCTGAAGCTTATTTGACCAAATTAATGAATAATGATTGCTGACGACTTTAAATTGCGGTCCTTCTGTATATGGTCGGCACTTTTCTACCCCGAATAGTTCAGTCAAACACTCTAACTCAGTTGTTGAATACTTAAGCTCCTGAGGTGTTGAAGTACGGCTAGCAGCCCTATTTGAGACGCGTCACACTGAAGTATAAACTCCCTATCAAAATCAGGGCATGTCAATATTGGTGGCGAAACCAAACACTGTTTGACATCTTGAAAAGCATTTTCGCCTCTGGCGTCCCAAATGAACATTCTTCTAGGTCAAATGCGTTAGTGGTGCCATACGTATAGCAAAGTCACGAATGAATCTCAGATATAAAGAAATCATACCGACGAACCACGTACTTCTTTAACGTTCTTTGTAGTGGGATAGTTCAACATAACAATAATTATATCGTCAAGATATATGAAGACTAAAGTCTCTAACTTGGTTCCTAGAACTACCTCTAAAAATTTCTGCCAAGTAGCGGCTGCATTATGAAGTTCACATGGCATCCTCCTGAAATGGTGTAACCCTTTACCTGGAACAGTTTGAGGCGCCACTTCATTACGTTTACCCATGGGTGTGTTAATTTCCAGATAAAACGTAGTTATATTTTTTTTGTTTGAGTACGGTCGGTTTAGTTACCAATTCGAAACATTCAACATTCCACCCAAAAACTCTCTTGAGATTTGTATGTTTATTGCTTCCGTGACGATTGTTTCAAAAGAAAAGAAAATTCTCTACAAGGTACTTATCCTCGCCGATTCAACTATCCAAGTCCTCTAATATAATCACCAGGTGAAAAAGTTGAGCCATACAAAACTATAAGTAGTCGCAATACTTCAGGAAGTAAAACATGCTGAAACTTTCATCTAGATACACCTCAAATTTTATGATTCTAAAAGAAAATGTCGAACGCTCACCTTCTTGTGTCGAAATCCCTAGCAAAACAGGAGACGTTTCGAAATCAGTTTATCATCTTAATCCAAACTCGATTGAATCAAGGATTGAATTCGCTTTCAAATAACCCAAAATGCACCAAACATTCAAATTTTTACAGCCCTTGAAATGTAAATCCGCACCTATGCAAAAATCAATCAATGATAGTCATATAAACAATTACCAGGCAGATATCTTCATGATTTTCTCTAGGAATTGCTATCTAATTTACGTCGTTTCGAGTCCGTACCGAGCCCAAGAGTTTTTGTCGCACAAAAAGGAAATCTATGAAGAAGTGTCTATTTTTATAGGTTGTTTGGGGTGAATGAAATATCTTCAATTGAACTCAATTTTATGCAACGAAATAATTTGAAATAATATCGCAACATGTTTTAGAAAACAATATATTGTTATCGACGGTCAGCTTTCAGATGTTGTTTGTGTTTTATAGACTTGACACTTCAATTTCTGTTACGATGACTTAGACAATTCAACTTCTGCAACTTCTATTAAGATGTATTCCGATGACACATCAATAAAAGTATCTGATTGGAAGTATCCAATGCTTCAAATAACCTCTATTTCAAAAAGGATGAAACTGTATCAATTAGATATCACCATCGGTAACGTAGCAGTATGTTCAGTTTTAGAGCAAACGATACCTCTGATTGTTTAAGAGAGTAAGTAAAAAAATTAATTATATTTTGCGATACGAAATTGGCTTCTGGAACTGCAATGCATCAGTCCATCTAGATGGATTGATGCATTCATTTCAGAGAAAGAAGTGGTAGATACAATTGGTAAGTGGAATGCTCGCGATTCTTGTAGAAATGCTTTCAAATGTTTCAAAGTTTTGCTGAACCTTGTCCTTTGATTATTGACTTATCCTTCTATGTTTTCAAAAATGAAGAAGAAATATTCGTATTAAATAAAACAGAATATGATGTGAACATTCGATAAAAAATTCGTATATCATTCTCCAAATCTTTAGGCTCCTCACAAATGCATCTTGTTGTCTTATGTCATTAAAAACTCTGAAACATTATTTGTTTTTGAGCGCAATCTCAGGAATTTTCTTGAAAAAAAATGTTAAATTGAATATGTGTATATTTACAGTTAACGATTCTTCCAATATTATGTTTTTCAAAAAAAATGAAGTTAATTATTAGTTTTGTCATCAGTCTCGTAAGTGGATTTCACTTTGCTGACGATATAAAATGCAAATCTAAATCAGGATAGTATTACAATGACAAATGACCTCCAACGTGTAGAAGAATGGTGTCAAAATGGCTCCTGGATCTGAATGAGGTATGAAGACATTTCTGTATTTTAGTCATTTTCGAAAGCAGCTATTTGATTTTTCGTACAGACGTAGACCTTCATGGGCCGCACTACTGCAATCTCGCGAAAAGGACGAATTTTCGATATTTTGCTTCCTGTTGGATATACCGAAATAAGTTATTTGAGAAAGTTGCCTAAAAATCGATTTTGACCCTTCATACAGAATTTCAACCCAAAAATTTAAAATTTGATTTTTTTGTAATTTTCATATTCAAGTTCGATTTTCGATTAATGGTTCCGAATGAGGAGCTATAGAAATGATAAAATATTCACGATTAATGAAATAAATATACTCGTATTGAAATAACTAAAATTGAAAATTATTATTTTATCAAATGTAAGTTAATCGAATTTAATTTCCTTTACTGCAATAACATATAATTCATTATAACATTAAAATCAACAATTCAAAAATAACTTTTCAAAACGCTGAAAGGTGCGAACTTATTTCCTCCTTTTCATAAAATAGGATGTATGCATCTCCACTCACAAGCGATTTTGGTGAAATTGGTGACACGTGTGAATCATTGTATTCATAGATTTGGGAAGCTGAATACACTTATTGAATGAATGATTCGAAGAGGTTTTTGTATGAACGTGTATAATTTTAAAATTATTGCAAAGTGCTTTCGACTTTCGTCATCATCAGTGCTCACCTGAAAGTAAGTGATCTAATTGAAAAGAAAGTTTTATGAAAAATAAAATTTGCAAAAAAAAATTATGAAATTTGAAAAATTGTTATGAATTCTTACTTGTCAGGCAACAGAAAGTATCAAAATGAGTACATGGCACATTTGTAATATTTGACTTATATAAAACAAAATAGGCTGATAGCCAAGANGCACTCATTTTGATACTTACTGTTGACTGACAAGTAAGTAATCATAACAATTTTCCAAATTTCATAACATCAAAAATTTTTTGTCAAATTTTCTTTTTTATAAATCTTTCTTTTCAATCAGATCACTTACTTTCAGGTGAGCACTGATGATGACGAAAGTCGAAAGCGCTTTGCAATAATTTTATAATTATTTTCTTTTTTATAAATCTTTCTTTTCAATCAGATCACTTACTTTCAGGTGAGCACTGATGATGACGAAAGTCGAAAACGCTTTGCAATCATTTTATAATTATAAACTTTCATACAAAAACCTCTTCGATTCATTCATTGTATTCGTGCCACGTGCCAATATAAGGATGTCTGCAGAAAGCTGCATAATGTCCGCTGTAGGTAGATCCGAAAGTGCATATAGATTATAACGACAAGGAGTCACATTGTCGGCTGCATAATTGTTCATATCTAATCCATCTAGAGGAAATTCGATGGCAACATGGCCTCTAAATCTTTCTGTTAGAGAAAATCTTTTAAAATGAATGACTAAAATACGGGGAAACTTATGGGTCGATAGAAACTTTGTGCATTTTCTTTTTCCTTGCATCTTGAACACGTCGGTTTTTCATGTCCATCCAAAGTTTCCTCTCTTGTGAAGATATCTAAGCACTGTGATAAACTCAATTGGCCAGTTCTTTGTGTCGCTCAATTTTTCGTTAATCTCCGTTAAGGTCGGTTTAGGTTTTTCAATAACTCTATTAACGTCATCATGTTAACCTTCTAAAAGATAACGAAGGAACTCCTGGGCGACTTGATGCGCATGACCCATGAATCGAGGGGCAAAACTCTGAATCTGACTTTTTAAAGAGACTGTTCCCTGCTCTACCAGATGAATCTTCTGACCACAATTCCTTGATAACTTCTGCGAAAGCATTGATTAAAGCACCCTCCGTACTAGAAATATTAGTATTGATATATTTCAGGTGTGGCCAATATTTTTCAACCCATTAAGCCCAAGGGTTTTGACTGAGGAATGTATCACTGATCTAATTGCGTTGTAGCTGTTGGTGAAACGTTCGCCACCGCTGTTTTATTTCCAGTATTCACGGATGCAATGATTCTTCCCATCATTGGACCAACGGAATGAGGAATTTTGAAGTTAAATTTCTTGAAACTGAATCAGTGTATTTTGTGTAAGAAAGATAATTCCAGAACTTGTTTATTTTCCTTTGCATCTTCTGACACAATTGGGAAGTGATCAATCTGCTTACTCCATTTTACGATGTTCATAGGAAATTTTGATTTGTGGGTTCAGGAATATTTCATCTAATTTTTGAGAAGACGGAAGATTACCCAATATCGATGTGGCATTACCCCTTTGAATGGCGATACTGATTCTTTGAATTAAAAATAAATAGGCTCGGTTGTCATTGGTAGAATTCATCATTCTTCTAACAATTTCTTTCAACAATTCAGAAGCATGAGATCCAAAAACACCAAAGGTTTCAATAGCAACAGGAAAGGAACAGTAGGAACTTAGCAAAGTGGAGTATTTCCGAAATTTCGATTTTTCTGCAATTGTAACAGCTGCACCAGTGGAATTAGACGTAGCGGCAAGGTGTGAAGCTGCAACTTTACTAGCATATCTCCAATTTTGAGGAATTTTTCAGTTTCCTGTTGAATATGATCGGTTGCGAATTTACCTAATTTTGGAGTGAAAATCATCATTCTCAATGTTCAAAGCAGTCTCATGTTTTGTGTTTCAACAGTTTTCAATTTGGGCTAGAGTGTCATGGAAACAAATGAACTTTTTACACCCCAAATGTCAGTTTGAAAGTAAATTTGTTAAAAACAGTGACAAAATGCCCATTGAACGTCTTAATTTACGAGAAAAATTGAAATAATAAGGTGATTTAGTGATGGTGCTCGAAGTAGCAGACAAGTTGCTCGAGAATTCAACAGAAGACATCCGCAACGAAATCGTATTCGACATGGAATGACAGCCTCCGTGAATATACTCAATGAATTTGAACTCTTTTGAACGAAGTAATGGCGAAAAAATAACAGGACACAATTTAAAATAGTGCGAGAAACATTCCTAAAACTATGTCGCCAATATTTTTTTAGCAATCGTGTTTTCATTCACTGGAATGACCTGCCTGAGCATATAGTTTGTGCCTCATCAATTGATTTTCAAAAATGCATTGGACAATTATTATCGAAAATGTGGAAACAAACCTTTATTTTTGTTTGTTATTGTCGAAACTGTTTTCTCTTTAAGTACAATATTAAATCATCTGAGAGGCTTTGAAGTTATACAGACTGGAAGTTTCGCCTTCTAGAAAGTCTTAGGACGGTCTAAAAAACATTCCACAACATTCAAAAATATTATGGAGAATTCTGGATGTTATGGAAGTTCGGAAATAGTCTGAAATGTTCGGGAAAATCTTGGAATATCTCAGATCATTGTGGAACGATCAAGTGGTAGCTCTCTATTTCCTTTCGTGATGAATTTTCAAGTTTCTACAAGAAGGGGGTGCTTTTGAAGAAGAACTGGAAGTTTCGCTCTCTGGAAAGTTACAAAACAATTCAAGACATTCCAGAGTATTTAAGAGTATTCCACATCATTTCACAATATTTCAGAACTTCTTGGATATTATGAAATGTGATGGATTTTTGAAGAAAAATCTGAAACGTAAGGAAACATCCCAGAATATCTCACATCATTCTGGAACGATCAGGGAAGTCATATGTTGTAGTTGCCCTCTATCCCCATCCATGAAAGAGTTAGGGATAGAGTTTTCGCATTTTGAGTTTTCTAGAACAGTCCAGACCGTTATAGAGTATCGAGAGCATTCCACAACATTATAGAACTTTCCGAAATATTACTGTATGGAAATATGTTTTTGAGTTATTTGGATTCAGATATATAAACAGACAGACGGACAGGTAGTAGGTAGGTTCAATTTTTTTACTAGAATTAAGTATTTATTATTTTAGAAATAATTTTCCAGTTTTTAACTATCTAGTTCCTAAAAGAGGAGACGTTCGCCATATTAGACGTCACGAAAACCAAACGTGTGTGTGAAATTTCAGCTCAATCGGTTGAAGTTAACTAGTTCAAAATTCAGTTTCAACATTTTTCCACATTAACATAACTGATAGAGTTCAATGAAAGCTTTGATAATGAAAAAAATATTAATTTCATCAGGAATGTCTCACTACATCGAATTTTTACGTCAAAACCTATCTTTTACACGAATGTCACCAAAATACGAAAGTTGTAGAAACTGAAATGGTATGGCACATGGCATGAATTTGACGTAATGAGAATTCGACGTAGTAGGTTTTCGAAGTTAATAGGAATTCGAGGTAGTGAGAATTCGACGCAAAAAGAATAACTTGTCTAGGAGCAGGAAGTCCTACTATGTCGAATCATCGTTACGAAGAAATCTAGCTATTTTGAATTAATTTCAGTTTCGACAACTTTCATATTTTAAAGATGTCAGGGATAGGGATGGCTTTCTACGGAGTGAGATTTCATTGTAGTAGGAATTCGACGTAAAGAAGAATTCGAGGAAATGATACACACCTTTTTTATTGATTACGAATAGAATATTGAAATGAACAGATATGCTCTTGTGCACAGGTGCGCTTCAATTATGTGGTGAATAAAATACTAAAAATCCAGTTCCTTTCCCTTCATAATCATTTTTTTTTAATAAAGAGGTTAAACTCGTAGAGAAATGAAATGTATATCTCATTGAAGTCATATTCATTGTTAAAAAAAAGCAGTATAATTTCAATGAGCTCTGTAATTATAACCATCTGAGACAGACTCTCAATTCGTTTTTGAAACAATTATAAATATTTTTTAAGACCTTCAAATGGGCATTTTTACGCCCAATTCTCGCTAGAAGAACATTTTTGGAAGGAAGCACTATTGATAATATTCCAGCTTTTAGCACATTTCTCGTTTCAAATCTTTGTCTCAAATATTTCTCAATTACTCCCTTCTGTTAGCGGAGTATAAATTACTCTTCAACAATCTGACTCGCAACGAAACAGTTTCAAAGTAAATATTTACTTCTGGAAATTGAAGAAGGTCGTTTTGCGATGAGAAAGAAGAAAGAAAAAATCCAAGTTTGTATAAGCTTTATTAGAAAAATATAAAAATATATAAGTGTATACAGATATCAATAAAATACTTTCGCTGAAAACTGGCCATATGCAAAAGAGAAACTTAAATGAAATGTTTCTCAATAATAATAATGAGTGTTTCGAGATGATTTGGACGAAATGTAATGATTTGAAGAGAAATTGAATGAAATTTACTGAATTAAATTGTTGATTATGATTGGTACACGCAAGATGTGTTTTTGGTATTGATGATTGGGGTTTAGGTTCAATTATGTTTCACAATAGCAACAAAAGTCTTTTGAAAAATCGGGTGATATCTTGTCGTGTACCTTAGCTCTCTGTGGCTTTACATTAATAATAATAATAGGTGTTTGTTTGAAATCTCAGCATTCTATATGAAATACAGGGTGGCCAAACTTAGAAAAATCCTAGTACTTTTGATTAAAATGAGGTACTTTTTCATATACCATTTTCACCTCCAAACGAGGACAAGTATCATCCCTTAAAACTTCGATAGCATTTTTGAAATGCCCTGTTGACACATTGAGCTGAAATATACTTTATTCGGGCTTGTACTAGTTTTTGGAAAATGTTCGATTAGACGAACGTATTTTTATTTGATGTCTACTTTCGTAGATGAGGCTACTCAAAAATTGAAGCTGCAGAAAATCGACTATTTCCGAAACTCACTTCTGGTAATGAAAACTATTGGAATGTCACCTTCTTTTTACTATTATGTGTTTCATACTTATAGTCATTCATTCATAATTTTTTCAGAGAATAAACAACTGTTGTGAAGAAAAAGGCTGCAACATTTCACGAAAATAACCCATTTTTGGAATTATTTTATCACTCCATTGAAGTTTTCTTTCAATATTTGTTGGCAATATTACGGAAGATCAAAGCCTGAAAATTGTGAATAGCATTGATGCTCCCTGGGTGGATCGGGTAGTTATTAATAAAACCTACATAGAAACGAAACTAATGACCATTTTTTGCTACTTGGGAGCATCTGAATGGTCCATTTCTTCCATGTCTCCGGAAAACACTACAGTCTCATGGATGAATTGTGTTTTCTATCCTTTTTAATGACACCCATTTCAACAATCTCGTTTTCTGCATTAGGTCTAACTTCCACAGAAAATGATGCTGTTGTCAGACAAAAATAGTCAAAAATTGATCCAACTAGTGTAAATAGAACTCAAAAAACACTATTTTCTCCATAAATTTGCAATGAATCGCTGAAACCTAATTCTAAAACTCAGTACCTATCCACTGTTGAAAGAAACATTCTATCCAAACAAGAAGGCAGTCATTCTCATTGGGCGACATTCGTTATGACTCGATTTTTGTAACCACATATGTAGCAACATGCGATCAAGCAATTTACAAGTTCTTACTATCAGAAGTGAGCTCTTGAAATAGTGGATTTTTTTAATTTCGAATGACTGGAGTTCCATTTAATGAAAATTCTTCGAAAACTAGCGCGATCTCGAGCACCATTTTTTATGTTCACTTAGGTAATTGAATATCTACTAATTAAAAACTCTGAAACGTTCTCGCACAGTTCGACGCGACTCGATAGTTCCAATGTCATTCGATGTGGCAGTAACTTTTCATAGCCACTGGTTGTATTTTATGAATTTCATTTATTTTTTGATATCCCTACCAAAAAAAAAAATCAAGGGGGCGACAAATCTGATGAAGGTTATTCATTGTTTTTATCATTTCCAACGAGTACCGAATACCCAATCTTGGTCTGAATTATCATTATGACGAAGATCAATGATTGATGTATTGACAGGGCAATGCTTTTTCGCATTATTCTCGTATTCATCAGTATCCAGACTAATAATTTCTTCGGCACTGGGTGGGCAAGAGAGGAAACACGGATTGGTCTCCACGGTCGCCAGATTTGTTGCTTTCTGATCTTTGAATTCCTCAAAACATAATCAGACAATTTATAAAAAGGAAGAATTGTTAAAGAAGACTTCGAATTACTCTGAAAATGCGACTGAATGTGCAAGATCATTTCGGACAGAATTTTCAGTCATCTGATTGATCAATTTCTTACTGATGGAATTTAATAAGGAGAATTTCAAAGCAATTTTCACCATTGCCATCGCATGAAAACCAAAAACATTGCACCTCATTCAATAAAAAATCAACGAGTCTTTGAGTTGCCGGAAGGCGCATTTTCTGATAACGGCTTTGTATTCCTCATGAGAAGTTAGAATGTATGACCATTAAATATGAGAGAAAAAAACAAAAAACGATGATACTGTTTTCTGAATACTTGATATTGTCTGAATGATAAGATTTCAAAGAAACACATAGAAAGTCCCCACAGGAATAACTATACCCATAATAGACTTTCAGGATAAAGTGTTTAATTTCAAACACTGAATGAACGATTATCTAATAATCCCACATGATGGATGCAACAATTGTTGGTTATGATGCTGGTGCTCTTGTTTATTATCTCACATACCACATCTATTATTCTAGATTTTCCAGCAAACAATTTCTCCAGTTTTTAGTTGCACCAGCATATCAATTTAATAATTTCATTCTTAAACTTAAATCAGGTCTATGCTTTTTCATGTTATTTAAGTTGATGAGGCATGCAGGAAGGAGCGAATGCGTTGTTTGGATTTCTAGATATTTTAGCGATTATTGATAAAATATTTTTAGATGCTTCGTTGAATTGATTATAATAATTTTTGAGGAAAAGACCTCAATCAAACTGAAAATCCCATTAACCACTTCAATTCTGATGAAAACAAATCGACAGTGGTGTTCCTTAGGAAACAACCAAATTCATACAGGTGGTGATTACTTTTCATATTTTAGGAGAAAAAAATTCATATGAATGTGTGTTCTAACTTGCTTCGTTTCGGAGTAACAGGGTGTCAATGTTTTACTAAAAATATTGTTCTTTCATTAATAACTCAAAAGTATTTTCGCCGATTTTGATGAAACTACGTGTGTTTGTTAGCAGTAATAAGGGGTTCGTCTTCATTGAATTACATTACGGGTAATGATTCCAGTGGCGTCACAGAGGTTACCTGATTGATGGTAAAATTTATTATACAGCACTGTTTCTCTACAAATTTACATTTTCATCAGATTGAGTAATTGATATAAAAAACGTGTCTGAAGACAAACTTCAATACAGAAGCAATAAACTGCAAATACATATTGAACATATTAACAATCTTCCCGTGCAAGAGAACCTACTCACTTACTCACAGAATACCCCAGGTCAAACAATGAAAGAAATTAGTTTTTCATTTTTAGTGCATTTGTGTGGAAGCTTTCCTTCAAACATTTTTTTATGATTTTTACTTTTGAACATTATTGAATCGAAATAAAGATTGAATATATGTATTGAAATAATGGATACAAAATATTTACTTTGAAATAACTTATAACTTTATTACCGAAATGTAAAGTGAAAAACGATTTAACCACTGCTTGCACAACATTCTAGATATTTTCAAGATGTTAATAGGGTCTTTTTTCTACTTTTTTCGAGTAATTTAAAAATAATACCAACAATAGGAAGATGCTGATTGTTAACCACAGAAGTGACACTAATATCACTAATATCGTGAATCACTAATAGAGTGAAATTTTTTGACAGTAGGTGACAACTAGTATAATCAAATTGTTTTAGCGTACAAATACGGTTGTATTAGTATATAATATCAATTTAATAATACCTATCAAGAAATATGTCCTAACAGATATAATCCGGGATAAAGAACTTTCACCAGATTACACGTTATAGACTGCACGAAACTGAATCTTTAACAAAACAGGCTGAGCGTCCTGGTAGACCGAAACAGGAAGCAATTCTTCAAGAATTGATGGTAATTCTTCAACAAGTACCCAAAAATTAGCTGCTGCACATTGCAATATCAGTTCTCGAAGTGTTTGGAAAGTGTTGCATACAAATTCATTGTATTCATACCACAAGCAACGGGCACAGGAACTGGTACCGCAAGATTTTCCCAGACATTAGGATTTTTGTCAGTGGTTCCTTGAAAGAATTGTACAAAATCCCAATTTTACTCGTGAAGTTTAATTCACAGATGAGGCAAGTTTATCAAGGCATGTCATCATTAACATAACAATCATTCTTGGGCCTAAGACAATCCTCATGCTACTGTAGAAAGTGGATTTCAGCAAGAATTTTCAGTGAACGTCTGGGCGGGAATTTTTGGTGTTCATCTTGAAAGACCGCATTTTTTTCCTCCTCAACTCAATAGTGTGATGTATAGACAATTTCTAGAAGATACATTGCCAGAATAGATAGAGGATGTACCAGAATTAATAGAGGATAGTGAGACGAAAGATGTGGTTTATGCAAGACGAGGCATCTGCTTATTTCAGTGTCACCGCTCGTGAATATTAACTGATACTTCTGCTCGCCAGTGGATATGTCGTAGGGGACATCAGTCATGACCATTTAGATCCTCAGAGTTGAACCCTTTGAATTAATTATTTTAGAGATATTTCAAATCGCTTATTTTTGCTACAGATGTAGATGAAAATGACTAAAAAATCAGAATTAGGCATATTTCTAAGTTTGTTCAAATGGCGGCGAATATCAAAACATATTTTTGAACTTGAATGATGCGAGATCCCCATTTCTACGTCACTGACTCTGACAAGATGAAGTGTAGCTATTTCAAATGATATTAAACTTAGCGGAAACAGTGCGTAAAATGATTTCTACCATAAATAGCAATGAAGTAACCCCCTGCGAAGTCACTGGAATTAAAATTCCAAATATAATTTCATGTAAAGGAGCCGCTTGTTACTCATAAAAAATACACGTGGTGTAATCAAATTCAGCGGAAATAATTGTGGATTATTGATTGAAAACAATATTGTTAGTAAAACATTCGGAAACGAAGCAAGTTAAAACATACGTTCATATGAACTTATTTTCATAAAATGACACCCTGTATATCATATTCTAGATTCAATGGATGCCATTTGAAGAATAGCCAGAAAACCCAAATCACGAATATCAAAGAATATTGTTGCAAAGCCAAGCTTCGAAGTCGACTTTCGCTTTTCCTGCAATGCCAAATGGATACTATCAAGTTCAATGATGAACCATATTGTGAAGGTTCTGGGAGTTTGATAATTTGCCTTGAAATTCAATTCTGAGGATCCTGATAACATATTGAGATTCCTTATGAGAGTCTTCAAAAATATTTTTCAAAGTTTTTCACAGTTTGCTTCCTATGGGGACTATAAATATTAGCTAGTATTAGAGGAAATTTGTGACAGTACCTTCTTGGCATATTCCTAAATTCTTATTCTCCTCACAAAAATCAAAATATTGGTGTGAGAACGTTATGCAAAAATCATCATAAGAGCACTAGAGAAAAGAATTACTCAGAACAAAACTAGTATTCAAAAGCTGATGAATTTTGTGACAGTTGTTGTTTCTAAATAGGTATCTGGAAATGTCTAGACAAAGAACAGAAATAGGGACTAGTGAAACAGGAAAACAAAAAGAAAGAATAAGAAATAGTAGTTCTTCAACATGTACAAGAGCAGTAGTTAATAGAGAAGAAATATTGGAATTAATTTGTTAGTATTCAGGAGTAAGGAGGAGCGACTGAAAGTTATATAGCTCTGAAAAAAATCCAGATATCTTGAAAAAAAAATTTTAGTGAACACTACCAGAATTGTTACTCTACAAGTACATTCTTACAGACAGAAAAATGAAGTAAACGGATATCAAGTCAACAGTAACTTAAAACTTGAAAAATGGGAGCAGAGGAGAATGAAATCAATAAAGTATGAAGGTAGGGAGAGCGATAGAAAAAAAAAGATGGAAAGACAAAAGTAGATGAAGAATAAGGGAGAAAAGAAGAGAGAAAGAAGCCATTGAAAGAAAGAGGAAAAGAAGAAAGAGCAACAAAGCCTATTTTGGATTACATAATGGTTTTCTTTAATAAACAGTACGTTAACAATATAAAAAAGTTGTTATACTATTCGAGTTATTCAAACAACTCAGGCCACATTCTTGGAAAGGTGAACTGGCAAGTAGGTACAACACTGAATTTCCTCTTAAAAAATAATTAATTCACAAGCTTTTCATAATACTGCCCATCACTATTTGTCACATAAATACTCAATAAATAACTAGAATATAGTAGTAAAGCTCCCGAATAGCGTTAGAAAATCAGAAAGGCCTAACCGAATACAGCGTAGGAGTTTTGATTCCTAGACAAATCGAACCTGTTCTGTTGCCTGCTGAGCTGGTCCTGTTGAAGTTTCTTCGAATACAAGTAATTGTTGTAAAGTAACTGATCGCGGTACTGCTTTTGACTGAGATTTAAAGGAATGTACCCATTATTTGACGGCTGCTGCTGGATTATTTGTGTTGGTTGTGCTTGGAGGATATAAGGGTTTACTTGGAGTTGAGTTTGAGATGCTTGAGGAGCGGAATACCCAATCAGTTGATTATGTCTAGCCTGTTGAGGCACCTGTGAAGCTGCCTGCTGAATCAGCTGATTTTGGTTCACTTGTGATTGGTGGTAAACGATTTGCTGATTCGGTGGTTGTGCTGGTAGAGCAAACTGATGAACGGGTGTCTGATGATACTGCTGAATTGTGAGAGGTTGCTGCTGCGACACTATTTGCTGTGTTGGATAAACTTGAATACTACGGGCCTGGGGGCTTTGGTGGTAAACAATTTGTTGAGGAATAATGTCAACGGTATTTTGACCATCGTCACTCCTTCTTCCGAATAGGGAAAACAAGGATGGCGGACGAAACGTCGTGGGCTGCAAGTGTCCCCCCACTAGTTGTCTCGGGTGGGACGTACTGGAAATTTCAACTTGTTGTAGCTTCTGTAACAACAGAAACAACATTAGAATAAGGGGGGACACTTGCTAAGCACTAGATCTGGTATTGCATAAGCGAGGCGTTAAGAGTGTTTGCTGTTATTATATAATATATACGTGATTCGCAATTATTTGCAGACTCGTGAAGTAATTGCTGGGATGATTATAGTGATGTAACGTACAGTAATTGACGGTACAGCCATATTTGGGTTGATGTATTCAGTCTTCTGTATAATACCGGAGCACGATTACAATTAATGATACTATGGAATCATTTAGATTATTTATTGTTTGGTATTGAGTTATAAGTGCTTCAAATTTCAACAGGAATAATACAGTCGCTTCCATCACTACATGCATATTTTTTTCCATATACCAATAATTCAAAAGTAACATTTTCGAAATCAGTTGATCATTTTTCAATTATCAGAAATTGTGGTTTGGAAACGGATATTTTCAACTGCAACTCTTGTTCAGATTTAATTTTAATGTGAGCGGACTTTAATAATGTTCATTTCAGATTTATAAAAATGCAGTGAATGAATCCGAATTGATAGGTAATTTGTACAGATAAAATAATGAAATTTCACTACGATGGTAATTATATGAAATGAATAGTAATTATATGAATTCATTTAGCGAGTTTATAACTTGAAAAAATCATTATCAGAATTTCACATCGAAATCCATATCTGTTATTTGTTTATAATCTAACTGCATCACCAAGATGTTTCACTATTTGGATTCTGTGAAAGTTGGAGATATAACTGTGACACTTCCTGTGACACTTCCACATAATGCCTATTTATTTTATAGAAATGATCTGAACCTTGATAACTCACGGGTGAAAGGAACTTTAGGAACTTCAGGAACAGTGCTTGAGAATTATGGAAAAGAATACGTTAGCTATCTGTAAGCGAGACAATATAGGGAGTATAAACAGAAAATGAAGCTCGAGAATAAAATCATCCTGCAACATCGAGATGCCTTCCAGGTACACCTCGCTCGAAAGGTAACCTTAGTAAATATATCCGAGAATTTGAACAGAAGAATTATCAAGAGAGAATATATTTGCTACTTTAAACGAAATGTTCTTGCATTTTGATCTTATCTTACTTTTTTGGAGTAGTTAAGTAGAATCTAGGGAAGCTGTATAAACAAGAAGTGAACGATGTCACAAACTCTTGAGTTTGAAGTATCGCATGGAGCATGTGAACTCATCAGAATATTGGTTCCCTTCTCTGCTAGTCTGCGATTTTGAGAGATTAGTAATTGTAGCATTTCCTTCCAAAAAAATGTGTTGTCGCTTGGTTTTGGATACTGAACGGTGATACCACAATTCTGTCATCAAGTTGAAACTCATTAAGCAAACGGCCACATTATAACCGCAGATATCATTTCATCTATGCGGCATTCAGGGATCAGTCGATGCATAGAGTTTACTTCAAGAACATTGAAGACCCTGGCTCACCAAAATACTTGGAATTTTTTTTCAGGTCGAGTTGGATTTGTCAGAATGATATCTTCAATTGCTTGGTTTAGGTTTGGTTAGGAATCACACGTTGAAAGGTGAGACCTCGTTAGTCCTTAGCTCGCACAAGTTTCTCAACTTCTGAGAGTTGTTGTTCGTATGCGGGCGACAGCTGATTAACGGAAAAACAGATTTTAAACAGACAGATTTTTAAACAATCGTCGCCTTGAGTATGTAAAGGTGCTATGAGGCGCATGAAACCATCCCGTCCATTATATATTGGCCCTGCTAAGTGCCTCATTAACTCCTCTGTTACCTCTTCTTCTCAAGTAGAGGAAAAACTTAAAATAAATGAAGATCTGCTCTTGAAACTTTGGTGAAATGGTCTATCTGATTTTTGGAGTCCTAAGTGGAATGATCCCCTCTTGCCCTCTCTACTCTAGGGTCTTAAGATCATATCAGCTTGCCGCAATAGTCAGAAATATTGGCCTAGCAAATGCAAAAGGCTGCCATTTTTGGCTCATTGTGTCTTCTCAGGGCACAGGATTCTAGCACCCATTGGCTACTCCCGTCGGTGTGGCCACTGGTTAATAACTTATTTCATTTTTTTATGTTTTCATGAAAGTTTACCTATTTTATACACACACTTGCATTGAATATTTTTGATCTATTGATTGCATTGAACTCCTTTACACTTGTAAGAGAGGTTAGTGATATTGTTAAGAAGTCTCGAGAAGCGAGGCGACTTCCAAATTTTCCACCCTTGATTTTCTTTTTCAGAAAATGATATTTTCAGTCCTCACTGTTCAATCTCCTATGACTGGTAGAATAATCTTGAATAAAAAGGGGTGAAGTGAAGCCTCACTGTGTTTCCTCAAAGCTTCCTAATATATTATTTTTTGATCAGTTGTTTCCGAAAAACTGTATGAAACTCATGTCAGTGGAAATAGTAAGGGGAATAGGTGCCAACCTTTGAGACGGAGAATAAAAATTGTTCGACTTCTTCTTTGACTTTTACAAAAATAAATTTCAATTTCTCAAGAAATGAATATGGAATACATAATTATTGTTTGTGAATGCTGAATATTATTCATTATACAGTATCAATTTTATCTTCCTAATTAAGCACCCAACTAGTTCCAAGAAGTTTTAGAACCATCTGAAAAAATATCGCCCTTTCCATTCTCTTCAAATTTTGCAGGTTAGTGCAATCATCCAAGGGTTTGGCGTTGGGAAAAATATTCAATTCATATGTTTTTCGAGATGCCCAATCCAAAGTTCAACTTTGTGCCTTCGCCAGAGGTCGCATTAATTCTCAAATTGAATTAGATACAGTTTCCTGTAAAATGCATATATTGACTTTGAATTTCGGACAATATTTGACCTTGAGGAAGCGCGTTGAGAAAATATCACTTTTTTATACTTAGTGAAAACATACGCGTGGTGGCGTTTTGATAACAATTTTATATACTTAAAATTGGGAAAGAAAGGTTTTTGCTCCCTACTTCTCCATCTCCATACAAAATAGCGAGTGTGTAAAGAAGTAAAATTTCTTTAGCTCCATCTATCATCCTCCACACCACCACCCCCAATAACAATCGAACTGAAAATCATGTAATGAAGGAAAATGTTAAAATTTTATTTTATTTCAACCCAGTTTATTTATATGGAATTAAATTGAAAAAACAAGAAGCCAAACTCCATGATAATGAAATGAATACATACATACTTTATTTCGAAGTGAAATTGACAATATGGCGACTAGAATATAAAGTCAATATCTACACCTGCTACGAAATGGCGAAACATTTAATAATTTCCTGAAGACAAACACATTAATATCGATATTTATTGAAATACTCCTTTCAATCTGCCATATGGCAAATTCAACAACCCGATTAGTTTTGTTAAGTTATTTTTTGTTCATAAAAACGGCAAAAAATGTCAATATGACAATGAACATCATTGTTCAGTTAGAATATTCTTATTTAGTTTTCGGTTTTACTAGTAGAAAGGTACCAAGTCAACAATCTCTGAAATGGTCAATTCTCGTCCATTGAAAGAAAAATTGAAGTGATTTTTATTTACGGTGCGATGCGTAACTTTTACGAGACCGAAAGAAGTTTCAATGAACGTTTTCCGATCTGTAGAAAATATTTGAGGGAACTTGTATCCAAATTCAGAACAACCGGTAGTGTACATAACAAAAAGTCCCCAGGTCATCCGTCCATTCTGGAAGAACAGCAAGCGCAAATAATTGGTGGGATGGTAGTAAATCCCGAACAGTCTACTTATTCCGTCACGAATGTTTGTGAGGTGTCTCCTTCTACTGTGAGACGACAATTAACTGAAGATGACCCTGGTCGAATAACAGAATTCTGACGGAAACCATTACAAGGCATCTTACATATCTCCACAATATTTGTTTAAGTGACGATTGTCAATTTTTTTAACGGCAATGTTCACAGACAAAATTGCCGTTATTGGAGTGACACCAACCCTCACGTTTTCCGGGAAACACATACCCAATATCCAGAAAAAAATCAAGTTTGGGCAGGAATATTGGGAAACCACATTGTAGGACCTCTATTTATTGATCAAAATTTAACAGGGTAACTGTATTTGAATATGCTGGAAACTACTATTGACCCTCTGATCACTGAAATCGTCGAAGCGAATCCTAATGAATTCGATTTGGATATTGTATACCAACAATACACAATTCGTTCGAATAATCTGATGCTGTTCAATGTTGAAGAATCGAAGGCAGAAGGTTTAGAGGCCAAAATAGCTGATGACAAAAAAATTGCTATTCAAGTACTTGAATCTATTGGGGTTGAAAGCAACGACCTAACTAAAGTGATCCACATAGGTCGACAAGGTAATAAACCCAGGCCTATCAAGATGATGTTATCAAACTCAAATGCAGTTGGTCATGCTCTGAAACTCAAAAATAGATTGCTTGATACAAAATTCAGAATCGCTTCAGACAGAACAAAAATACAGCAAGAACAAATGAAAAAAGTACAGGATGAGTTAAAGCAACGCCGGGATCGAGGTGAGCAAAATCTCGCTATTAAATATAGGAAAGGCATTCCGATAATTGAAGAATTAAAAAACTAAGATATAACTCTTACCACACGTTGGAAATATATTATCAAAATGTTAGTGGTGTAAAAACTAGACTCGATGAATTTAAATACTCTGTCCTGTGCTGTAATTATGATGTTATTATTCTAACTGAAACATGGTTAACTAGCTCCTACTATGATTCAGAAATTGGTTTAAACAACTATAATATTTTTAGAACTGATCGAAATGAGAACACAAATAACAAGTCTCGAGGTGGCGGTGTGATGATGTGCTTCAAAAAAGAACTAAACGTAAAAGTACTTACTGGATGGAATTAGTACAAATGTTGAACATTTATTCATTTTTTCTAAAAACAAAAGCGCAAATGTGATTTTTGGAGCTACCTACATACCTCCTGGTTCAAACTCCGATATCTGTATAGAGCATTGTATTACTGTCGAACAAATATCTGAGAAGGTCAGTGCATCTCAATGTTATCTCTTTGATGATTATAGCTTACCATTGGCTACGTGGGAATCTTCGGAAGAACATGGACTTAGCGTTCGTTGCCCTCAAGGATATCCAGCTCATGTTCTATGTGATCATTTTTCTTTTCTCAATTTTAAACTACTCAATTTCATTCCTAATAGTCATAATAGTCATATCTAATTTTTTCAAAAAATATTTATGTTCATGTTCAAGAAGCCACTGACCTACTATTACCTAATAATTTTCATCATAAAGCCATTACTGCCAAACTAGAACTATCAGTTAAATTTGAACTCCTTCTATTTGAAGAGTTTTACTATGATTTTAAGAATGCAGACTATGTAGGCTTGAATAATTATTTTGCACCAATAAACTGGGAACTTTTATTCAATAACTTAGATATTCATACTATGAGTGAGATATTTTACCAAATTACTAGGAACTCTTTTGCAAACTTCATTCCTAGGAAGAAAAGTAAACCAACAACATATCCAAAATGGTATAACAAAGAGCTGAAGTTACTCAGAGAAAAAGATAGCTTACGCAAATTATAAAGCAACTCGTACAGACCAGGATTACCTAATATTTTCCAATCTGAGGTCTGAATGCAAGGACCTTATGAAATTTTGCTATGATACTTATATAGCTAATATTGATGACCAAATAATAAGCAACTCAAAATATTTTTGGAATTATATAAACTCAATAAGAAAAAATCATGGATTTTTTTGCTGAAAATTTTTCAAGAGTCTATACTAGAAAAGAATTGGATTTAAATAATGTCATAAACGAAGCAGTTGCGGCAGCGGTTGACATTCCGTTTATAACATTTAGTAATGTGGGAGTATTCGAAGGGTTGAACTCATTAAAAGGAAATTTGAGTTGTGGACCGGACGGGATCCCTGCCTATTTTCTTAAAAGATGTGTCTACTCGCTAACTAAGCCATTGTGCATAATATTCAACTTATCATTGAAGCTTGGAATATTTCCCTGCCAATTTCAAAAGTGGCAAAAAGGAAGACATAAAAAACTATCGTCCAATCAGCAAACTTTCACCTATTTCAAAACTTTCCAAATCTTTACTTGTGCACTATCTTTCGTGGCATTGCAAAAATATGCGAAATGAAAATCAACATGGATTTGCTGCAGGTAGATCAACAACATCAAATTTATTGGTATATCAACAAGACATCACCAAGGCCCTAGAAAAAGGCCTTCAAATTGATACAATTTACACTGATTTCAGTAAGGCCTTTGATAAAGTCAACCACAGTTTATTGATTAGTAAACTTCAAGTAACAGGTTTTCCAACTTGGTTAACATGTTGGTTAAACAGTTATTTATCTGATAAGAAACAGCTGGTAAAAATTCAAAACCACATTTCCAGTGATATTCAGATCACATCAGGCGTCCCGAAGGGGTCACATCTGGGTCCACTTTTCTTTAATATTTTTATTAATGATATAGCTCTAAACTTTCGCCACTGTGAATATCTTCTCTTCGCTGATGACCTCATAATTTATATGCCAATCAAAACCAACCTAGACTGTAAATGTCTTCAATCTGATCTGAACGAAATGATCAACTGGTAACAAAATAATGGAATGTCTCTGAATGTTGATAAGTGCTATTGTATTTCATTTTCTAGGTCCAATAATCCTATTCAATTTGATTATCAAATTGAAAACAGTCTCAAACGGGTTTTTGAAATTCGCGATTTAGGAGTCATATTTAATCATCAATTGAATTTTGCACATCATATTGACTCCGCAGTCTTTTCAATTATTGGGTTTCATTTCTAGAAATGCTAAAAAACTATTAGTATTGGCTTTCAGAAAGTTATATCTAACATTGGTTTATTCGGTTACTCAATACGTCTCACCAGTGTGGCCACCATATTATCAATCTCACATCGATCGAATAGAAAGAGTACATAAAAAATGTTTAAGGTGTATAGCTTTTAAAATGAATCTACAATATGGTGATTACGATTACTTGCAAGTTATGCAAAATATGAATATTACCAGCTTGGAAGGTAGTAGAACAAGTACTGACTGGATAACTCTGCATAAGATACTAACAGGGAACATTGATTGTCCTTCATTGCTCTACTCGTTTCATTTTAAAGTTCCAAACAGACCTACTCGTAACTCTGAATTACTCCAAGTTCCCTACCATCGCACAAATTAAGGTTATCATAGTGCTTTGTCACGTTTTGTAAGATTAGGTAATGAATATTGCAATAGAGGTTTACATTTTAATCGACAAACATTAAATACATTCAAAACCAACTTAAAAAGAATAGTAGTACAGGTGTCCGTCTATTACTGTCGTACTGCTAAATTGTTAATTTTTAGTACACATTTAGTTCAAGTATGTATCTGTATTTTCATAAGTAAAAAAAGGAGAAATCCGTTTATAAATAAATAAATAAAACAAGACGGAGCACCACCACATTACTCCAGACAAGCAAGTAAGCAAGTAGCAATGTTGCAATGTTGGCAACAAACCTCGCCTAATCTGTTAAGCTGCCAAATGTTCATTTTCTATTATAAACAGTGATTTCAAAATAATCAAAAGTACCACAATCGATTCACTATATATCTATACATAATACATGTAGAGTACAATCCAATCACGAAACATTGTCAATCACCTTCAAATAAATCAAAGATATTCTTAAAGCCATATACGAACAGAATAATGATATAAAAAACGTAATCAAAAGTATCAGAACTGACCTAGATTCCATGAAAGCAAATCATAAAATACTCAAGAGAAAATTGCGAGTCTAGAATTGGAAAATAAAAAGCTCAAATTTGAGAGAGAAACGATTGAAAGGAAACTGAAAGATAACAATTTGATTGTTTATGGGATAAGAGAAGAACCAGAAGAGAATATTGTGAATGTCATCAAAAAATAACTCCTGAAAAAACTGAATTTAACACTGG